TTAAAACTTTTCGTATGACTACACAGCCGCTATACACAGGATGGCTATGATCAAGAAGTAACTGCAGGCGTGGAGACACTGGAACCCTCACACACTGCTGGGGGAATGTAAAATGCTGCAGTCGCTCTGGAAAAGAGTATGGTAGTTTTTAAAAAAAAAAAAAAACAACTACTCCCAGATAGACATCCACGAGAAATGACCCACGTGTCCAACAGAAACACGGACGTGAATGTTCACAGCAGCCTCATCCAGAATAGCCAAAAGTGGAAATAATCCAAATGCTCACACTGCAACACGGATGAACTTTGAACACTTATCGTTAATGAAAGAAGCCAGACACAAAAGGCACGTACTGCATGATTCTATGTATGCGAAACGTCCAGAATCAGCAAATCCTCAAGACAGAAAGTAGATGAGCAGTTGTCTAAGGCCGAGAGAATTGAGAAGGAATGAGGAACGGATGCTAATGGTTATGGGGTTTATTTTGGGGGTGATGAAAACATTCTAAAATTGACTGTGGTAATGGTTGCACAATTGTGCATATATTACAAACCACTGAACTACACACTTTAAAGGAGTTAACTGCGTGGTGTGTGAACTACATCTTTATAAAGCTATTTTTTTAAGTCTTTTACAACGTAAACATTTTGTCTAATATCTGCTAGTCTTCATTTCACAATGGGAAAAATGCTTTGTTTAAATTTGAAATCAGGGAAGCACCTGGGTGGCTCAGTGGGTTAGGCCTCTGCCTTCAGCTCAGGTCATGAGCTCAGGGTCCTGGGATTGAGCCCCACTTGGGGCTGTCTGCTCAGCAGGGAGCCTGCTTCCCCTCCTCCCTCTGCCTGCTTCTCTGCCTACTTGTGATCTCTCTTTCTCTGTCAAATAAATAAATAAAATATTTTTAAAAATTATATCACTTAATAAATAAATAAATAAAAATTGAAATCAGGAATATGAGTGAGCACTTTTGTGCACAAAGCCAAAAATGTAACTTTTTTAAAACTCTGAAATAGATGAAACTCTATCTTAACTGATAATGTATCACAGAATCACACTGTTCTTTATTCAAATTTAAGAATACTTTATAATATGCTAATGAATTAATCTACCACTGTATTAGCCCCATCTTCTTTTTCCACTCTAACTAGGAGGTCCTACAGAGTCGTTATTGCTCTTTACAGTTAGGAAACACAAATGAAGTAATGTGTTTGTTGGGCACAGTTGGAACTTTGGAAAATATCAGACAAGCGTGAAATGCTAAACTACTAAACGACCATGTCAAATCTCCACTCATCAAGTTTTCATAATGCTAAAGACTTGGGGAAAAGTTGTTGGGTTTTTTTTTTAGATTTTTTTTTTTTATTTATTTGACAGAGATCACAAGTAGGCAGAGAGGCAGGCAGAGAGAATAAGAGGAAGAAGCAGGCTCCCTGCTAAGCAGAGAGCCCAATGCAGGGTTCGATCCCAGGACCCTGGGGTCATGAACCGAGCTGGAAGCAGAAGCTTTAAACCTCTGAGCCACCCAGGCACCCCTTGGGGAAAAGTTTTTAAAAAGAACCCCATAAACTAAAGATTTCTTTGGGGTTTGGGAAAGCATCTCTTGACACCTATGTCATAAGGACTTGTTCCTCAAAGTCTGGTCCATGGGCCAGCAGCAGCAGCATCTCCTGAGAGCTGATTAAAATGCAGACTCTTGGGGCACCTGGGTGGCTCAGTGGGTTAAGCCTCTGCCTTCGGCTCAGGTTATGATCCCAGGGTCCTGGGATCAAGCCCCGCATCGGGCTCCCAGCTCAGCAGGGAGCCTGCTTCCTCCTCTCTCTCTGCTGCCTGTCTCTCTGCCTACTTGTGATCTCTGTCAAATAAATAAATAAAATCTTTAAAAAAAAAAAATGCAGGCTCTTGGGCCCCATCCTGGACTTACTCAACCAGAATCTGCATTTTTAACACGATCCCCAGGGGATACGCCTGAACATTAAAATCTGAGAAGCACTGTCGTAAGATCCTTCCCTTCCTTTTTCCACGAAGACAGCTCTTAGCTTGTACTGGACTGGTATTTCAAAAACTTGTCCTCAGTTCCATTCCCTGATCTTCTGCTCTACTCCAAATTGCAGAGAGGTTGACCCCTAACAGGCCGGGTTTCCCAAGCAAGAGGAGGATGGGGTAAGACTCCAGCAGCAGCTGTGCCCTCTGAAGGCACCAGGGCCCATCAGACAACCCCGGGCAGTTCAGTCTCTTGGCAGGTGGGAGTTGCTCCTGGGGTCAGAAATGCCGCCTCCTCCCTCTGTCCTCCAAACTCAGGGGTGACAGTGGTTTCCTACTTGTTGCCTCATCTCAGGATTGCTTCACTGGCCACTAGCTACATCCTCGGTTCTCAATCACTTGTACAACCACTCCCCTACATTAAAGTCCCTCTGTTTTAAAGATTTTTTTTAATTTGAGAGGGAGAAAGAGAAGGAGAGAGAGCATGTGGGAGTACAAGCAGCAGTGGGGGTGGGGGGGACAGGAGGGGCGGGGAGCAGAAGGGAGGAGAAGCAGACTCCCCACTGAGCAGGGACCCCCCCCCCCAACTCAGAGACACAGACTCACTTGATCTCAGGACCCTGAGATCATTACCTGAGTCTAAGTCAGACACTTAATCAACTGAGCCACCCAGGTGCCCCACATTCCCTGTTTTAAATACTTCAAGTGGTTTCAGCTTTCCCGTTTAGTCCCCAAATGATCCCCCGTACCATTTTGGATATTTCTCTTATGCACCACATATACCAGAGCAATTTTCTGAATGGCTTATCTGCTTTAAAAAACTGGGGGGAGCTATTGCACACAAAAAACCTCACATTTCTCACATTCAGACAATCTCTAACAACATGAAAAAAAAATTAGCCTTAAGCTATTTGTACAGCAGATGTGACTGTATTCAGCAACTCAAATCCTCAGGGTGTATTTTTAACACACTACCCATCACTCCTCCTCAACCAGAACAGCTGGTAAGTACAGCAGCTATTGTTTTGTTTTTTTTTTTGGGGGGGGGGAACACCTCCTAAAGAACAGAATTCTGGACAACACTGGAATCTCTGAGAGATCTAATATTAATCACTCATAAATCCCATGATCTACCCCACACTGGGCACATACAAGGATCCAGGACCAAACAACAGGGGAGAGCAACTCTTAGTATCATTTACGGCTATATGGAGATCTTCCTACAAGCACATCTGACTGGTCACTCCCATGCTCTGAATAACCATCAGCAGCTCCCTCTTGCCCAAGGCCAAAAACCCAATTCCACAGCCTGCCCTTTAAAATCCAGCCCAATCTACCTTTCCAGCCTCTTCCTATTTCCTCTCAACCTGACCCACTCACCTTCAGATCATTCCCAGGTGTGCCTAAACCTTTAGATACAGTATGTGTCAATATGCATCAACTATGTGGAAAGTGCTTCCTTCCCCAATTAACTTGGCAAACTTTTTCCCTCAAGATCTGTTTTAAAGGCGACCTCGCCCCCCCCCATGCCACAGTAGGTGGATTCTCTGTCCTCTGAGCCTCCACAGGACTTACTAGGTCATACTGTCACATGCATAGATGTCCATCTCCTACAGACTAAGATCCAGACTCCTACTGTCCATCTTAGGATCCTGACCATGGTTCAAATCCAGATCCACCTTTCCTACCTGTGACACCCTGGGCAAGTCACTTCACATCTCCACCTCGATTTCCAATCCCCTGAGATGGGGATGATAGGTAATACCCAGCTCAATGGGTTCTCACTAGTACTAAATGAGTTACAGCACATGTAGACTGCTGTAAAGTTAACCCAAGAAAAGTGCCTGGCACATTGCCTGGTAAGCGCTGAAGAACTGCTCTCATTACAATTATTACTATTACCGTTATGCCTGGAAAAAAGGAGGTGTCCAATACCTATCTGCACAATAACTGGAACACTTCCCAATAAACTTGTCTGTAACACGTACAGACCCAAGATTACCCCCATCGCAAGTATCAGAGGCTGACAGAGGGTAAAGCAAGAAATGGCTCCCACAGTGAAAGTGTCAGCTAAACACAACTGGCCCCGGAGGAGAAGCGCACTGCAGCAGAATGAGAGAGTCTGTGCCAGCTGGATCGGCCGGGGCTGCCCACAGAGCCAGCATGCCCTCAGCCACCTGTCCAGCCACCTGCCCCAGGCAGCCGTGTTCTAACAGCAAGGGCTCACCTGTAGCCAAAACCATAACCAGTTTGCAACGGGAACCGCAAAGGGAAAACAAAGGGCGCAACTTTCCTCCCGCAGAAAGGAAATGCGTCTTTCTGCAGCGAATATTTAGCGTCTGGAAGTTCTCCGCCGAGTTAGGTGCCCAGCGGGTGCGCAGCCAGGGAAAGCCCCCTCTCCCCGCTTTCCCCAGAGGGAAGGAGAGCGGGTCAGAGAACGAGCATCCCTTGTCTTAAGGGCACGAAAACACATGCGAGTCAAGGAAGAGCCCCCACACGCCCAGTCCCGTTGGATTTCCCAGGGGACCACAGGTGAGTCTGCGGGGCACCCAGCGGGAAATGACCGGGTCAGTCCTCAGAAACGAGCAGTACCCGGGGTTAGGGGAGCGTGCGTTCGCGGGGCGCGGCCAGCAGCACCCATTTTTGGTGCGCTCGCCCCCCGCCTCTAGGCCTCCGCTTCCTCCCGGTCCTTGCAGCGCGGGGCTTCCTCGCGGCCCACCCGCGGCAGGCGCCCCTGGTCCCGGCGCCCCGCCCCACCCGCTCGGCCCCGCGCGGAGCCCACCTGCTCTCCCGGCCCGGGGTCCCCGCCGCCGCCCCGCCCGGACGACGCGCTGAGCCCCGGCGCGGGGCGGGGCGCCTGGCCCGTTACCCCATGAGGCGCGCTCCGCCCGGACGGCGGCGCCCGGCGGGATTCCGGGCCGGGCAGGGCCGGGCCTGAGCGGCTCTCGGGCAGGGCCGCGGGCCTCACGGGGCTGCCGCGGCGTGAGGGGCGCGCGCCCGGGCCGCCGCCGCGGGCTCACCTTCTGGCGGATCTGGCCCGACGTGGACACCTTGCGGATGAGCTTCTGCGGGGAGCCGGGCTCTGCCTCGGGCTCGCTGTCGGACGACTCCTCAGGCGGCGGCGGCGGAGGTGGTTGCGGCGGACCCGGCGGAGGGGCGCCCGCCGCCGCCGCCATGCTGCCGGGCCAGCGCGCGCACAGCGGGCGGGGGCGGGGCCGGGGGCGGGGTCTGGAGGGCGGGGCCTGTTCGGGCGGGGGCGGGCCCGGGGCCTGGGCGGGCCCCCCACGCCGTCTCGCCGCGCCCCCTGCCGGCCGCGCGCGCAGCCGCAGACGGAGCCGCGCTCGGGCCCGTCCGTCGCCACTACCCCCCCACTCCATGTCTCCTGGTCCCCGGTCTTAACGTCTGTTGTTTTCCGTCTAGGACACAATTTGTGTGGTGTTTTTGTCTCTGTGTTCACTTTTTTTTTTTTTTTTAATCTTTAGTCTTCCCGTTCAAGAATATAAGTGATCTCCAGGAGGCGCGGACCGTCCTGCCTTGCCCTGCATCGTGTCGCCAGCATCTAAAGCAGGGTCTGGCATTTAGAACTTAGTTTGCACCATAAACAATTGGGAGTGGATGGATGCATGCAGGAGTGAGGAAAGAGAAGAAAGTCCTAGCGTCTGGGATGCCCGAACGGGATACACAACTCCATCTGGGAAGGCTTCCGGGAGAAATGATGCCTGAGAGAAGCAAGGGGCTAGTAGGAGTTAGCCCTGACAGGAGAGTGGTGTTCCAGGAGGAAGGACCAGGCTGGGCAAAGTCCCGGAGGCGAGACAGAACAAGTGTCCAGGAGAAAACGGAAGTCGCACATAGCCTGAAGGGAGCAAAATAACAAGAAGGGATGAGCCTGGGGGCCAGCCGGTCAGATAGGGCTTTGTAAACTTGATAAAGGGGTTAGTCCTGAGTATTAACAGGAAGCCCTTGGCAGGGCTGGGTCACAAAGCTGGGGCCTGTGATCCAGGCTTTGAAGTAATCAGGGCAGGTGGCTGCCCTGGGTCATTGGGAGGGGCCACAGAGATAGAGAAGTGGACTCAGGAGGGGAGTGATCTGTAGGTGGAGGCAGGAGGCATAGGTGAGTGGGGTGAGGCCCCGTGGGCTAGCCAGGAAGTGCCAGATGATGATAGCGGGGTAGGTGGAGCCTTCCTGGGAGGGCACAAAAGAGTACACTTGTTTTCGCTGCTAGACAGGTAAGAGGGGCAAATCCTTAGGGGGCTACATGACTGTCCCCTTGCCGTTCCAGAGGGCTGCTGCTGGAGACTCGGTGGCCCCTGGCCTGCCCGCCAGTCAACATGCCCTGACCCCCACTACTCAGAGTGACACTTTCCAAAGGCAAAACAAGTGAACCCATCTAGCATGGGGACACGGCCAGGAAAATGTACTCACATCCAGGATAGGGCCTATCAGGGCCTAATGCAGGAACACGCTGGGACCGGCCCAGAGGCCCCCAAGCATTGCCCAGTGCTATAGTCACTAGCCACATGTGGCTACTTCAGTTTCAATTCCAGTTAATTCAAATTAAAAGTTCAGTTCCTCAGTCACACTAGCCACATTTCAAATACACAATAGCCATGTGTGGCTTAGCAGCTACCACACGGGACAGCACCAGTATAGAACATTTCCGTCATCACATGGAGGTAGTTATGGCTCTCATAAGCTGACCACGGGGCAGACACACCACACAAACTGACCAGTGATTCTAATCCTCACACAAGCCCCACAGAGCAAGTTCTCTAGGTCTTGAGGTTCAGATAGATACCTCTTCCAAGGAGTGGAAAAGAGATAGAGTTTGGACCTGGGCCTTGTGACTCCAAAGTTCTTGATGCTTCTAGGCTAGCCTTCCCAAGAAGCTGGACCTAAAGGAGCTAGTAGGAAGCAAGAGGAGAGAAGGGACTGTTACAGGCTGAACTATGCTCCTACCCACCCCAACATTCACACGTTGAAGTCCTAACTATCCTTCAGATGTTATTCTTAACATCAGAACCTGACTGTATTTGGAGATGGGGCCTTTAAAGAAAGCATCAAGTTAAAATGAGGCCATTAGGATGGGCCATAATCCAGGATGACTGGTATCCTACTGGCCACAGACAGGCTCAGTGGGATGACCATGTGAAGAGACACAGAGATGGCACCTATGAGCCAAGGAAAGAGGCTTGTCAACTCTGAAGAAGAAACGGACTCTGCCAGTCTTGATTTCAGACTTCTGGCCTGTAGACCTGTGAGAAAATTTCTGCTGAAACCCCCATTCTGTGGTCCTTTGTGATGACAGCCAAAGCAATATGGGCACTGAGGAGAGCCTGTCCTGCATCCCCATGGAGCTTAGTCATTTAGTATCAATGAATTATAAAGAGTGTGACACGTCAGTGGAGGGGAGCTAAGAGTTCATTCTTTTCAAGGGTGTCTGGAGTCTCTCCAGAGGAGGAGTGACCCCAGCAGATTTTGGAGATTTGAGCGGAAAGGTGAGGGGACAGAGGGAATTTTCCAAGAAAACACAAGGTGAAAGACTCCCACGCAAGTTAGTTGCTGAGCCGAGGGCGAGGGGAGGAGGAGGAGGCTGGGAACGTGCACAGCTGCAGCTGGACCCAGGGCACCTCGGTGCGGTTCTCAGGAGCAAAAACTGCATCCTTTGGCATGGGGGCCGCTGAAGGGTGTTTAAAGCAGAGGAACCAGTGTATCTGGACAGAGAATGATCCAGAGGAAAAAAGACTAGAAACAGGGCATTAAAAAGCAATCCAGGCAATGCTTGATTAGGGGCACAACCAAGGCAGTGGTCCTGGTCGTGGAAAGAGGAGGTAACACGTGTGAGATTCAGCAGAGGTGGGAAGAAAAGGGACCAGCTGCTCCTAGTCAGGAGATTAAGGAGCAGGATAAATCAGGATGTCTCCCGGGGACATGGCTTTCAAGAGGAATGCCGCCCCAGTGACCACAGGTAGACCTAGAGGAGATGAAGATAAATTTGGTTTGGAACAAACTAAGTGAGAGGTGGTTGACTGACCTGTCGCCTTCACCCGACAGAAGCTCAGGGGGCATCTGGGCTCTAGAACCCATCATTTGAGAGGCAAAAAGAAAAGAAAAAAAAGAGACATGAATGTGAGTTGCGAGGCAGCCTCTGTGGCTGGATAAAAGTATATTGCAATCATGACAAAGTCCTATAAATTGTCCCAGCCACGGGGAGCCTAATGAGACATGACAACTAAATGTCATGTGGGATCCTGGAACATAAAAAGGACATTCGGTAAAAACTAAGGAAATGTGAATAAAGACTGGGCTTTAGCTTAGTCACGTGTCACTATGGATTCATGAAGTGTGGTGGGTGTGTCATCCTAGTGTGAGACATTTTTGTAACAAGGGGAGGTGGATATGGAGGAGTTCAGGGTCCTAACTGCGCAACTCTCCCACAAATCTCAGGCCCCTCGAAAATAAGTGTATATTTTAAAAGAGCATTAGGCTCATTAAGAATCATATTATGTTCCTAAACCAGAGAAACCTAACTCAGGCATATTTCCTGGGATGAGCGGAGAAGGCTTTCTGTTCTCCTGTGACTGCCGAGTGCTGTTCCCTTGGAGATCTCCCCCAAAGTGCCTTGCCTGTAAGAGCACATTCCCTACGGTGCCTCTTTATGGAATGACTCACGCTGTGAATCATCTAGAACAATGTGCGCCTCCTTGAGTTTACCCCACCTTAAGGGCATATCAAGGTGGCGTTAATAACACACTTCACATCCTAATCCTTCTCCACTTAGCAACGCAAAAATGTGTGCATCTCCTGTCCATTTCCGTTAGAAGACATGATATATTTCAAAACATGGGAATAATCTTATTTTTTACTCTGGACCTGGGTTATGATCGACATTTGGAGCGGGACGTTTCTTCACTGCGTGTGACATATCACTTCCCTGGCCCCAGGCAGTGTGACAACCAAAAACCAACCCCGTTACATTTCCAAACATGCCCATTGGGGTCCCCACCCTCCCCATCCCCTTAAGGATCAGTGAGGTAAACCATAAAGAAGGCAGTAGTCTTAAATGCGGAGGGGAGCAATGCGAAGTGTTACAGGGAGGAGAAAACAGACTCTCTAAAAGGAAGTTAACCAGTGACACACGTGATAAATTTGTAGCTCACTAAACACACACACAAGTACAAGTAAAACTAGGGAAATCGGAAGCAGATGGGCAGACCGTACTAGGTCCATATCCTTTGGGATAGCATGCATTAGTTGTGCAAGATGTTACCCTTGAGGAAAACACAGGATCTCTTTGTATTGTTCCTTACAATTGCATGTGAATCTACAATTATCTCCATAACATTTCGATTAAAAAAAAAAAAAAAGAACTTAAGGGCCGCCATCACTGAGTCAGAAGTGCTAACCTCCCCGCTCCAACACCTCAGTCTCAGAACCAGAAGGGGAGCAAAGGGCTGACAACAGACTCAGGGGAACCAGAGTTCAGGTCTTGACTCTGACTCTCCCAGCTGTGTGACCTCCAGGAAGTTATGTAAGGTCTCTGAACTGTACTTTCCTCATCAAACAAATGGCTGTGACAGGCCTCACTTACAAGCATGGCTCTCATGAGGAGATGTAAGAGTAAAGTGCCTTCAGCACAAGGCAGGTGCTTGATAATAAGTAGGAGGGATTCCTCCTCTCCAACCCTCCGGTTGCTGATTGCCGAACTTTGTCCCACGTTCCCAGCCACCACTCCCTCCGCATAGCACTCTCAATTCCTTTGTGCCCCGTTTATTCCAGTGCACCCACCCAGGAACCCCCGGGGCCACACATCCGACCTGCGCACAAACACTCAGCCTCCTGACAACATGCCAGTAGAGACTCAAGCAAGCGCAGACCCAGCCCAAGCAAGGTTCCATATCCCATTCGGAGCAGCTGGCTGCTGGCTTCCTGCTTCCACCCCCACATCCTCTCCAGGCTGACCAGCTGCAAGCTATATTCTAGCCAGCACCTGGAATTCTGTGTGTGGGGCATTTTGGTCCCAAAATAACCTGGAGGGCAAGGGCCATTAGGACCTCTGGTGTGCCAGATTGGCCTTCCAGCTCTTTCTCTCCAGCTCTAATCCACACAGTTCCAAAGGTCAAGCCCATTAACATCCACCCTGACTTAGGATGTCCTGGGGTCAAGCAATGCAGGAACCAACAGGCTGGTCCTCTCACCAGGCACTGCCAGGTGGACTCCCTCAGTGCCCCGCTTGCCCAGGATCTCGGGCGGGAGCCAACCACAACTGGCCTGTGGGCTTGGGCAGAAACAGAGGAAGGGCTTCATCCCCAGAGCAGCCTGCCGCCCTGATCATTCCTGAGGCTCCTGAGAGGCGGCATGGGCTGGAGTGGCACTGCTCCCTTGGAATCGGAGAAAACACCAAGGAGAAATTATGTCTGACCCTGCAAGCCCACAGGCCAAAGGCCCAGTCTTCTGCCTATATTATTATTATTATTATTATTTCTCCAGAAATGAATCCTCATCCCTGTCAACATCAGAATGCCTCAAACTCCACACCTTGTTTCGTGTGTGGGGGATCATGTCCAACGTTGCCAAGTGGAGCCTCTAGCCTAAATCCCAGTCCCCAAGACACAAGCCAGTCTGGAATCCTGCCGAACCACCCCAGGTATGGGAGCCTTCATGTGCATGGACATGGATGTGCATGGGGCTGTCCTGCTCTCTCTGCCCCATGTGGCTGTCCTGCTCTCTCTGCTCCTGCTCCTGGTCCCAGAGACCTGACCCCAAGTGTCCACCCTACCCGTGTCCCCTCTCATTTACCCTCCTACCTTCTGTGAGGGGGTTGACCTATGCAGAACTCTGCAAAGCCCTTTGTTCCTCCTGCCCTGAAGCATGGTCCAGAGCCTACCAGAGGAAGCGTACCAGAGCTTCCCCTGACCCCTCTGTGGCCTTTGGTCGCCGCTCCCAAGACTGGCGAGTACCGCAGGCCAGGAAGGGGATTCTGAAGGACACGGCCCTGGTGCCATCTCCCCTTCAGCTGCACCTTCCTGCCTGACACAGAGCTGCCTTGCCCCCTCACACATACACACCCAGTCTCTGTGAAGACCCTCAAACCAAGAAGCCTCCTCTTCCAGGACAAACCATTCCTGGGGCCAGGTGCTGCCCCCACTGGCCACAGGGCATTGATCTACCTGACCAAAGGTGGGCCAGCCAGAGTCTCCTGCTCAGGACCTGCACACTGGGACCAGAGACCCCCAAGACTGAGGGCATCCAGGGAGAGGCCACATTCCAGGAAGATGGCTGCCCAGGGGGCGGGACCCTGAGCTCCTGGGCAGCCCTGCCCACCTCAGCCATGGCTACTCAAATTTTTCCTTTAATTCTGTTCTCTGAGCCCCTCCAAGGTCCTCCCAGGGCACTCCCTGTTTCCCCTTAAACTAGTCAAATCTGATTGCATGGCTTGCTTTTCAGAAGCAACTTAACCAGCATCCCAGAGCTCAAACAGGGACTTGGTCCAAAAGTTAAATTAATAATGAAGAGTGTTTTGGTCACATTTGTCCTTTGCCCTGTTCATCTCAGGAGGCTCCTGGGGAGCTGTGGAGCTAAGATTGGCTATGTCATTAGAAACACTGCCTACCCCCTGCCACCATATGTTTCCAGGGAAGGAATTTACCCCAGGACCCCTGGAGAAAGCCCTGGGTGCTCCAGGCTCCACTGGTGAGCACACCAAACCTGGGGCACGTTCCCACCTTCATGAGCCTGCGCTGAGCCGTTCTGGCTCCCTTTCTAGATGCTGCCCTCCCCCACCTGAGGCACAGGACCCTGACAGCTGCAGCTTCCTTGTCAGTGACATCACTCAGCCCCCTCAACAAGACAGCCTGAATCAGATCACAGCAGAACAAACTTTATTTCTGTGGAGAAGACTCACACTTTGGTATTTAGCATAACTAAAGGGCTAACTGTGGTGCGTGGCTCATCCAGGCTGCGAACTACCCCGATTCCCAGCATCATCTTCACTCATCCCCGGCCTCCTGGTCTTTCTTCCCTTCTTCGGTGTCTCCTGAGTCTTTCAGATTTTGGCGAGCAAATTCCTCGAAAACCAAATTTTCATCCTGGAAACTGAAACAGAGCAGAGAACGTTTGGATCGTGGCATGCTCTCCGCAGCTCGCGGTGAAATTGCAAGCAAGGCAGGATGGGTGGTCTTCCTTTTGCGACAGAGGAACCGAACAACATCTTCCTGCAGGATGCAGCCTGGGACCAAGCCGTACTGCTCACAGCTTTTCATGTCAAATCTCTTTAACAAACACAAAGAAGAGAAAATGAAGGAACCCACAGAGCAGACACACATGCCCAGTATAACCAAGTGTGTGTGTGCACACGTGTGTGTGCACATGCAGGTGTGTGTGTGTGTGTGCGCGCGCGAGTGTGTGCACAAGTCATAGTACTAGGCAGCAGAAGGAAGACTCTGAGGTGTTCAGAGCATGCGGTATATACAGAATGACCCCAAAGGGGGTCTGTGCCTGAGGAGGAAGTCAGAGAACCCGGAGAAGCTCAGGGCAGTGACTCACCTTCCCTTTGCTGTAATTGTAAGCATGGTAAAGGAGAGAGAGAGAGAATTATCAGCATAAATTCTTTTTTTTTTTTTTTTTTTTTTTTTTTTGAGAGAGAGAGAACAGGCATGTGAGTCAGGGGAGGGGCACAAGGAGGGAGAGCATCTCAAGCAGACTCCACGCTAGGCATGGAGCCTGACAAGGAGCTCTGCCTCGTGACCCTGAGATCATGACCTGAGCCGAAATCAAGAGTCAGACACCCAATAGACTGAACCACCCCGCTGCCCTCTCGGCATAAATTCTGTGTGATAGCTGCACCTGGAACATTTCTTATTTTGGTGACTTTATAGCTGAAGGGAAAAGAAGCCTAGATGTGTGCATTTCACAACAACTACATGCGCTCCCTGCCTCTTTGCCTTTTCCAGCTGCCAGAGCCTTTCTCGCTGCACATCTGAAACCTGGGCTCCTCTGCAGAACACCTTGCCCTTACCTCCCCCAACCAGAATAAGGCATACCCTCACCTCTGGGATGCCTTCTCTTTTCAAAGTGTTTCTCCCTTTGGATTTTATTTAGGTGCAGTTGCGACCCACCCTCCAAGACCAGCTCACAGCTTCAGGTCCGGCTTGCAAGGGGCGAGTCCCGGGACTGGACGTCTAACCATGGCTGGGGGTGGGGGTGCACTCAAGCTGGGGAACCACTCCCAGGCTTCTCATGGTTTGGTTTCTCTGTTAACACATTGATCATTGTGTTGTTGTTGTCGGTTTATATTTTCAGATATGTTTTACAGCCCCGGATTAACTGCTATTCATCTGAGTGGTTCTTTGCTGCTGTTCCTTTGTTCCTTTAGCTTTCTGCCCACCTAGTAGAGTCCCATAACCCTCAGTGGGGCTCCAGCAAGAGCTGAGTGAAAATCGCTCCAGAGGGTTTTTCAGGAGCACCAGAGTGACGGAGAGGCTCCCATCTCTCAGGCACTGGGAGGGAGGTGGCTGTGTGGGCTGCTAACCACAGGAGATCAATGGAGGGGCCCCGGGGCAGGAACCATCCTGGGCTCCCACATGCTGGCATAATTACACTACCTGGGACCATCAGCCAGAAAGAGAATCAAATCAGCACCTGCATTCCATTGTGGATGCTCTTGACAGCGGATAATAAAAACTTAGTAGCATTTCTTTAGTGCCTATTAGGTATAAATGACTTGGCCCCAGGCCCTGGCAGAGTTTGTTAGCTACAACTTAATGCCATTTCTGCTTAGCCTACCTGTCTGGACTCAGAGCCCGGAACTAGGCAGGGAAGTTGTGAGCACTGCTGTGAATGGAAGTCTTGTGACTCAAATCTCAGGAATTCAGAACTTCAAGGCCATGGGGTGATCTGTCCTTTCTCCCTGAGATCTCCCAGAACACAAGATCATCATTTAGTCTTGACATGGTGGTGTGTTCAATGAAAGGGCCATGATGATGGACCATGAAAATGTCATACCCAGAAAAGGAAGAGCCCCACTTCTGCGAAGTCTGTTCACAGCTCCAGAAAACAATCTGGCATAAACGATGGCATTGCCTCAGGTCATAGTTTTAAAATATTCTTTTAAAATGTCCTTGAAAGGGACCAGAATGCATCTCAATCTCACATAGTTAAAAAATAGTATCTGAATGATACCACCAGATACAAATAAGAAAAAAATGTGGCCAGATTACTTTTTCCCCAAAGTACGTTGACTATTTGAATCCAAAATATTTGGAAAAATACTTTGAGACAAACCCAAAATGAATAGGGGGATTCATTCTCTTGTTTAAAGGGCATTTTATAGGGCACCTGGGTGGCTCAGTTGGGTAAGCATCTGCTTTTGGTTCAGGTCATGATCCCGGGATCCTCAGATGGAGCCATGCATCGGGCTCCCTGTTCAGTGGGGAGTCTGCTTCTTCCTTACCCTCTGCCCTTCCTCCCTGCCTATGTTCTCTCTCTCAAACAAATAAACAAACAAAAAATCTTAAAGGTCGTTTAATGATCAAGATACAAAAAGCTATAAAGTATAAGAAAAATAAATCTTGCTTGCTTATACCACTTTTTTTCTTAAATAATCCCTGTGCCCAACATGGGGCTCAAACTCAGATCAAGAGTCTTATGCTCTTCCCACTGAACCAGCCAGGTGCCATGTTTATAGCACCTTTACTAGAAATATTCTTTGTTACTATAACTATAGAGGGTTCACAATCCAAAGGAACCAAAGCTTCAGGAACCTGGCCTGACCCTTTCCTCTAGTATTTTCTGTATTCTCATCACAATCGCTACTGTCAAAAATACTCATCTTATGAATGCCTGTTAATGCTTCCAAATGAAATCCAAAAGCCTCAGCCTCTCAGATGTATTTTGCACCTAAACTTTCTTTAAATCTCAATCCAGTCCTATTCTCACCAGAGCTTCTGCTTGTAAATCATCCCCGATAAAACCCAACAAGAGAGTCCATGTCCAAGAGCAGTGATGCTCTGTCATCCACGGGCTGAATGAAGGTGGACAAGCCATGGCTCGTGGCCTGTGGCTCGTGGCTGAGGAGATGAACACTCATCTATGGGCTGGCCTGGGGCATCGTGAGGATGACAAGCCATGACCTGGCGATGCCACTGGGGCCATGGTTAGGAACGACCAGCCATGAATAAATAAGAAATCTGCAAGCAGTAAATGACTTGAGAAAGCCAAGACAATGAGTGACTGACCTGGGTCCTCGGGCTGGGGATGCATGAGGCGGAAAGGCACCTCAGTGGCCACTTCACTGGAAAAAAGAGAACGCAGATGGGTGAGAAGACACAAGGGATTATAAAACACACAGAACAGAGCAGTGGCTGCAGAGATTCCCAGCTGGAAGAGGATTCAGTGAGATTCAAAACAAAACAAACCAGAAATCAGGAAGTGGTCATGGAGGAATTTTAAATGTATTCCCTGGAATGTGGTCCAGAAACTTCACTGAGGCATGGCAGAGACTGCTGGGTTTTGTAGGCTCATTCCCCTTCCTTCTGGTTATTAGGTACAGTGATGAGCTCTGGTGGGTAGAGGAGAGGTGAAATCCTGGCGAAGGGACAGTTTTGGGGGAAAAAAAAAAAAAGACCTTGCCAAAATGGGCATGACTTTTTATGTGTTCACTCTATGTCAACAGTCACATAGTTGCTTGCTAGAGAGCAGAAGAGAAATGAGCAGCACCCGCCACTCCAAATTCCAGAAGCTGAAGGGCTTCAGGGTGACTTGGAATTTATACAAAAAGAAGGAAGGAAAGGAGTCAGGAAGGAGAACAGAAGGCAAATCTGGACCAAGGAAGAACAAAGGAAGGAGTGAAAAAAAGCGAGGGTCTCTCCTTCCTTCACCCACGTTATGGCTTTGGTCAAAGCGCACCTGTTTACAGGGCCACTCTGGTCAGACCCCAGTGCAGATGGGGTCTGGGTTCTGTGTCAGGGAGGGGACAGTAAGAGCCAGGATGACAGAGCGTGAAAGGTCAGTGGCTGCCTTGGACGTGGCTTTGGGCCTGATGCCTTGGGCACGATCTGAAAAAGGGTAGCTGTTAGAATTCACAAGAGCCGAATGGTAGAAGCAACCCAAATGCCCACCAGCTGCTGAACAGAGGACCCACACACGATCTGTCCACACCGTGGAATATTACTCAGCCATAAAGAAAGAATGAAGTAGTGACTCAGGCTACAACATGGATGGGCCTCGAAGACTTGGTACTCAGTGAAAGAAGCCAGTCGCCCAAAGACAGATACCATCCAATTCCATTTGTGAAATCACCAGAAGAGGCAAATCCATCATGATAGAAAGATTAGTGGTGGCCCTGGGTGAGGACAAGGCGGGGAATGGCAGAGACCACTTTAATAGGTACGGGGTTTCCTTTTGCAGTGGTAAAAATATGAAGGAGCCAGAAAGCGGTGACAGTTGCACAATATTTTAAGTGTCCTTGATGCCACTGCACTGTACATTTTAAAATGGTTCAGATGGTAAGCTTCATACACACAGACACAAAGGCAGCTGCCTGGAGTGGACCAGTTTTCTGAGTGTGTGTGCATGCATGTGTGTGTGTGTGTGTCCTCGCCCAGGGGAGGCTCAGCTATGGTCTGGAGGAAACATTTCTAGCCTCACGTCGATCAGGCAACATTCACAAGATGCCTCCAGAAGGCAGTGGGCCTCATTTCATAACACCTCTGAGCATAACTGCCAGCAAATCAGATTTCACTCTTACTATCTTGAACCCCAGATTGGTTTCCTATGACATCCTGAGAATCAAGGATGAAAGGTGACAAGGCTTACCTGGAGGTGAGTTCTCCCAGAAAGCTAGGAAACAAATGCAAAACAGGGCTGGTGAGTGTCCCAGTGATACCACAACCTTATATCCCATTATTCAGAGACGGACATGTCCCAGGCACACTCCGCACTCACAGCTTATGGGATCCTTGCAATCCCATAAAATTCAACTTGACTCTTCCTCTCTACTTGTGATGTCATCTCTTTTTCAAGTGGATTAGCTAAAAAGAAGAATCACTTAGGTCTAAGCCCTGAGGTTCATGAATAAACCACAAAAGTCTTTGTGGAATACCTGTTGTTCACTTATCCTTTTTTTTTTTCTTTTTCAAAGATGTTGTTATTTATTTATTTTTACAGATTTTATTTATTTATTTGACAGACAGAAATCGCAAGTGGGTAGAGAGGCAGGCAGAGAGAGAGGAAGGGAAGCAGGCTCCCTGCTGAGCAGAGAGCCAGATGTGGGGCTTGATCCCAGGACCCTGGGATCACGACCTGAGCCGAAGGCAGAGGCTTTAACCCACTGAGCCACCCAGGCACCCCATGTTATTCACTTATCTTGACACTAAAAGAAATTCTACCATTTTAGATCCTCTTGGAGAAAATCAAAGGTAATTCTGCTCGCTTTGAAAACCACTACAACTACAAACACTGGGGTAACACAGTTTGTAAAATCAACCCATGCTCTACTTTGTTGTCCCAGCCAAAACTGGGGGGATTCTTTATCGACTTAGAATCATAGAAGATGCAAAAATGGAGATCTACAGAGAATTTGTTTGGCTGCTGCCCTTCTTTCCTGAAGTGTGATGTTGCACCAAATGGATTTCCCTTTTTTGCGTATCAACTTCTACCCTGTGAGCAGATGGGCATGCACTTCCGCCAAGTAGAGCTAACATATTTCGTAGTTTGCTCCTTCTACTTTTTTCCACGTGACGTCAGACCAAACACAATCAACAATGAGACAAACAGAGTCTCTCCAAAACTCTCCTTGGTCATCCACAGAATGTGTAGATCCTTCCACTTTGCTGGTTCCCAATCATTCAGGAAAGGAAGAGTTCAGAAGGGGAGAGGCCAAGACAGAGCCCACAGCATTGGTTCTTGGACACTCACCCTGACACTGTGAGCTTCACTTTGATATGGTAAGACACCAGGATGCCCAGGACAGTCCGGTCTATGCCCTCCTTTATTCTGCTCAAACAGAAAGGAAAAGTGGAAAATTGCAGAGGAACAGCAGAAAGCAGAGACTGGATAAAAAAAACCCTCACCTCCAGACAAGCCTGTTATAATGGGTGCATCTTCTTAAGGAACTGGTGAATTCAACCAAGCTGTCAGTCCTATAACTTTCCATAGTCAGGGAAGGGGATTCCTTTCCTGCATTGGAGTTCAGGATTCCCCCAACCCCACCCCAGAAGTTCAGAGTGCAGAATGTGCTTCCTGGTTCTTCCCGCTCTGTCTCCATTGATGTTCACCCACCTGCTTATCAGCCAGAAATGCATCCCCCGCACCCGCCACCTCGTCTTCCTGGGCTCCTTCCTCTGTCCCACCTGCCATGCCTGGCCAACCACTGAGTCCTCCATAGGCTTTTTGTGCCTCCATTATCTCAATAACTTACCTCCCATAGGCCCTCTTCCCTGACCTCTCAGCAACTCTGCAGCCAGAGAGCCCCCGAGGGTCAAGCCTCAGCATGGCCTGGCAGGCAGTCTGTGAGCTGGCCTTTGACTGCCTTTGCCACATCACATCCTGCTATGGTCTAGTGTCTCCCATGCAACAGCCTCACCACACACAAGCCTGCCCTGGAATGCCGTCCTCCTCTGTTCTCTAAGACCTCAAGTTGAAGTTGACCCTCCTTTGTGAAACCTTCTTGGCCACCTGCCATCAGCACAAGTCTCCGTTCTTCGTACTCCGGCCCCAGCACCCAGCATCATGTCTAAGTGAATGAACATAGTGCATGAGGCCATCGCCTGTGTCCCCAAAGAAAGTGCCATCTAACTTTCCCCATAGAAACTCCATTCCGGGTTCCACTAACAGGTGCTGAGCTCCCACTGTCCGACAGGCACCGTGCTGGGTGTTCTAACACGTTATTATCTCATACGGCATCCACTGTAGGAGCATTAGGTAGTTCAGGATGCCCAGTCACAGGAGTTAAGGTCTGAAAAACATCATGACACTTGCTAGAACAATGTGAATGACAACAGACAAACACGGTCAAGAGAGCTAAAGGTTCCAGGCAGAAGGCAGGGCATGATTGTGCTGAGAGGTCTGAGAAGGGTCTGAGAGTGCAGGGCAGGCTCTCAGCCCAACGACCCCAGCCTGGGATCCCTCTCATGGGAGGCACCTTGGACATTGCTCCCAGGGCCACGATGCCCTCCAAAGACTCCATCGGCTCCTTAGTGCCTGGAGCTCCTTGGGGAAGGCAAATGCCTTTATCTGGAATCATGGGACATGGTCAGTTGAGAGAGGTGGACATCAATGGGGACAAAAAGAGGATACAAGCCTGAGACCCCACCCTATTGCTAGGCCTGACTGTCTGACTTGTGCTGAATGGAGGCAAAGAGCTGGGGGGAGAGAATGTGCTTCATCTCATGCCTGAGAATATGCTGTAAGCCTCCCCTCCACCATCTTCCTTGAATGGAAGAGTCTCTCCATATCCCCCACTCACTCTCTCTCTCAATCTCTCTCTCTCTCTCTCTCTCACACACACACACACACACACACACACACACAAGTTCTGCTGTGGTTGTCACTTTCCAGGTCCCTGAAAGGCAGCCCTGAAGCTGGGGCCAAAGGAGGGACTCAGGGTTAGAAGTGGCCTTTGCTTTGTCATTAACCGACCAGGTGACCTTAGTCAAGCCTTTCCTTCTGGCTGAACTTCAATTTCCTCATTCATAAAATGACTATAAATTCACCTTCCTCACAAAAGTATGCAGGACTTACATGGTTATGAAACAGTCCACAAACCACACAGCATTTTTACAAACGTGGCGTTCCACTGTTGGGGTCTTGATGACCGCCCCTGGAATAAACTGATCTAGTATCAGTGCACCTGCCGGTCACCCTCCCAGACCTTCACCAAAGTGCCTTAGAATCAAATTATTGATTTGGCAATATTATTCTCAGAAAATCCATTGACTCCACTTCCTGCCAAATGTTTGCTGACCCCACTCTTGTCTTGGAGAACAGCTGCTCCTGAGCTACGGGGTCATGGAGGTCAAGCAGGAGAGCCTCTTCCAAAAGGCATCCCCTTGCAGGTGGCCTAGTGGGGCCACAGAGGGAGCCCCAATGCATCACATGGGGGATGGCAGGGAGTGGGCCTCGAGCCCTCCCCCAAACACTCAGGGTCCCAGGAATGGAAGCCTTGAAGGCTGCCTGGAAGTGGCAGTGGATAGCTGACCTTGAAGCCTCCCTCCTGTTTGTGCTAGATCTGCTGGTTCTTTAAGTTGGGGTCAGCAGAGCAGTGTTTAGCTTCATTGAAATTTAATTGACATCTGCAGCTATCAGGACCTCCCGTTCTTTACTTTCCTGGTGGAAATGAATAAATGACATTTCCATCATGCATGAGGCCACCTGTATTACTCAGTTTATTTTTTTTTATTATAATTTTCTAAGTAGGCTCTATGCCCAATGCGGGGCTCGAACCCATGACCCCAACATCAAGAGTCACGCAAGCTACTGACTGGGCCAGCCAAGTGCCCCTGCATCACTCAGTTTCTGTGTTTAGGGTACTACACTAGCTAATGCTATTTTTAGAAGGTAATGGCTGACATTTCTGGAGCATTCACTGTGTACTCAGCCCCACACTTTACATGGATTATGTCCCGTAATCCTTGTAAACCTCCCCATGAGAAAAGGCAGCACCCCCACTGTACAGACAGGAAAACTGAGGTTCTTAGACAGCTCGAGTCATTTGTCCAAGGTAGCCCAGACTGTGAGCAGTGGAGCTGGGGTTTGGCATGAGGCCGCCTCCAGAGCTCACTCCCCTAACCGCCATGTCACACCAGGGGAGGGAGTTTGGGCCTGACTGGGCCACGGAGTCTTCACTCTGCGCCTGGAGTGACAGCCATCAGATCAGGCTCCTTGTGAGCCCATGAGCCCAGGGGGTGAGACAAGAAGGAGGCAGACCAGCACCACCTGTGCACTGAGTCTTGGGGGCTCGTCTCCTGAGCTATGAGGACTCACATGGTGCTGGAGGCAAGGTTCGTGTCCTCATGCTTGATCTTCCCATCCAGGGCGATGCCCCGTCTTTCCCGGTTGTTGGCCAGCAAGGGCACCAGCATCAGTGTCGTGGTCAGAGTGCTGTTTGGTAGCACTTTTTCTCTGTGGGAAGAAATGCAGAGTGGATATTTGGCTAACAGTTCTTAGGGCTATAAAGCCACCATCAGTCCCATGAGACACTATCAGCCATCAAGCATTTTCCAGGATCCAAGTTCCCTCTGACTCACGGGGAAGATAGTTCAAGTTATTAGTGCCCTTGCCTTATGAGAAATACTAGTGACATCTCAAAACAGTCTGGCAACAAGTCCCTCATCCTCCTCTGAGTCACTGAGTTTCTAGAGTATTCTGTGGGGTTAAATGAGACTGACTAACACAAGGGTCGGGGATCACAGCAGTTTCCTCCTGCCACCACGCAGTGGGCTGCAGGCTGTCCGGCCAGTGCCAGCAAGAAGCCACAGCTGGAAATGGCCTGTCACCGAGAGCTGTTGCTTGTCAGGAGGATCTGGCTGTTTGAGGAGGGTGCAGTGGGGCCCCCCGTGAACCATGCAGACCGGACTGGTTTTGTTCAAAGCACACGGTGCTCTGTCTCTCTCCTGGTTCTTCCCTGTCACTGGGTCACTGGTCAGATGGCGTGTCTCAGCCCTAGACAGACACAGGGAACCTGTGCCAAACTGTGGATCTGCAAGTCAGGAATGGAGCTAGGGACACAGCAGCAAGGTTTTGCCAGGTCTGGAGCATCCCTGACTCCGGAGGCCGCAGAGGTTGGCCCTGCCGGTCACCGGCAGGCTCGCACCACACCTGCACCCAGAGCTGTCCACATGGCCGCAGGGCCCGGCCAGCCAGCTAGCTGCCTGTATCCACACTCCTGGTGCAGCCAGGAGAAGGCAGGGGGTGGCCCTAAAAACACTGCCCAGGAGTCAGCCCCAGGGTCCTGGGAGCCCCGGGGTTCAGGGACAATGCCTTGAGCTCTGCAGCCTCCAGACTTCTGGTCTGAGACCCGCAAGCACAATCTAGCTCAGCTTTCAGGCTCCCTGCCTCCCATTCTTGGTCGCCAGTGTCCTGGGAATCCTTCAGTCCAAAATGCACTGAATCGCTGAAAAGAAGTCCAGATAATGGCATATGCCCCATGATGAAAGGAGAAAATGGTCCCTGGCTGAGTTCTCCCCTCAGATAGCCCCCCACCAGCAGCACCAAGGGAGCAGCCGAGGAGCTCCAGCTCTTTCCTGCCTCCCTCCCTTCTGGACCTATATTTAAACTCGGGTCCAGATCTGCTTTGAGTAATAGTTTATTCTAAAATTGTCTTTTAAAGTTTACGTCATGTTCTCTGGCTGAATCAGGTTGTCTTTGCACACAGGCCCCCTGCTTGTAGCTCTGGTGATATTTTTTGCATACAAAAAAACATCAGACACATCAGTGACACAAAGAGGGAAAGATCTGCCTGAGTGACCCTCTTGGGGAGGCGTCACCCCCAGTAACCTAAGTATGAATGAAGAGCAGGGAGCAGGACTGGGCAGGTCTCTCTCTATTCCTCGGCTTTCGATTTTAATGAAGGGAGAGAAATGGCTCATGACGCCGGGCTCAGAAGTGACATATCACTGGAATCCGGCTGTCACTGATTTGATTTTTCAAATCAAAAGACAGAGAACCCTTGCCTGGGCTGACGGACGATTGGATTGTCTGCTCCGGGGCCAGAAATCGTATCAGATTCCTCTGGACTTATTCCAAGGAGCAAGAGAAAGTTCCAGCTGTTCCCACTGTGACATTTCAATCTTTATTTCTCTCCTTTCCATTATTTCTTATGAGGGAGATCTCTGGGAACTCTTGCGATTGAGAACATAATTGACTTGCTAACTTTCTTCGCAGCCCTTGAAGTGAGAAAAGGGGAAGGAAGGGAAGCATCCTACTTCCCTTTCAGGGTGAGCTAAAGGGGAACTTGACAAGGAAGCCTAAGCTGCCCCGGAAATAGAAACCCGAGAAGCTACTCACTGTGTTTCCTCCTGGGCCACCGGCTTGGTGTAATAATCGCTTGAGTAGAGAACCACATTGGCCACTTGCTCCACTGCAAAGGGAGAACAGGGGTGGGTGATTCAATGTGGGGCCCTCCATGCACGTGCACGGCACCTGCCGGGGACGCGGTCAATTGTTGGAGTGTACTTCTCAGGCTAGGCTTTACGGCTGGGGTTTCTGAGTTCTGTCCCCAGGCCACTCCTGTTTGCCAATAATCTGCTCTGTGGCAGCTCGGCCCCATGAGCCAGCCTCCCTAAAACAGCACCTTCTAGAAGACTCCTCCCCGCTGAGCCCACACCCCTTCCAACACTATCTTATTTAATGAGAACCTTCTTCCAGTTGTCCAAGCTTGAAACCATCTACCGGCAACATAGACCTGACTTGTGTATGTGGGTGGAAATGTGGGCTCTGGGGCCAGACTCCTTGGGCTCAAATCCCAGCTTAGCTGTCAGCCATGGGGTGTCACTTAACTCCTCTATGCCTCACTTTCCCCAGCAGCAAGATGGGGGTGACACTTGCATCTAACTTACATGGTTGTTGTGATGATCAAAAAAAATAAATTTTTAATCTCTATTCAAATCAAGTCTGAGGAGTAGAAGAAACAATTTGTGTGACACACTCAGCACAATGCCCAGCCTATAGAAAGCTACTAACATTTTGCTTTGGAAATTTCAACAATTCTCTCAAAAAATGAATGGCTTTGATGTAAGAACTCATAAAGTTTTGAGAAATAATTTAAAACCAAAGTATCCAATGATACTTTCTCAACCTTGCTACTTCTGGAATACTGTATTAGACACTACATACAACATGCTAAATAATACCAGGTCCTACGAAGACGGAATGCAGATGAACTCAACCAACATAAGACAAAGCCATATGCACTCATATGAGCATGAAGAAAGCGCTATAGTAATTCTTTAGTACGCATGCACCCAAACTCCTGAATCTTATCTTTGATGCACATACATAAGGAAAGAGGAAAGTGGTATGTGACCCAAGTGACCCATCTTGATCTGCCTGGAGGTAGCCCATTCTAACACTGGAAATCCTGGTCAAGGCGTTCGCAGCTGCTCAGACAGAAGAGTGTGCAATTCTTGATCTCAGGGTCATGAGTTCAAGCCCCACATCGGGGTAGAGATTATGTAAAGAAATAAAACTTTAGGGGCGCCTGGGTGGCTCAGTGGGTTAAAGCCTCTGCCTTCGGCTCGGGTCATGATCCCAGGGTTCTGGGTTCAAGCCCCACATTGGATTCTCTGCTCAGCGGGGAGCCTGCTTCCTCCTCTCTCTGCCTGCCTCTCTGCCTACTTGTGATCTCTGTCTGTCAAATAAATAAATAAAATCTTTAAAAAAAAAAAAAAAAGAAATAAAACTTTAAAAAAAAAGAAAAGACAAAGAAAATCCTGATCAAGCCAGGACTGTTGGTTACCCTACACACACTATGAGTCTGGCTTTGTCTTAGTCACTGAGTGTTGTTTGAGTTAGTGGTGAACTGAGAGGTCACCCTCCCGGTCATTCTGTTGTGTCTTTTTTATGTAGCCCCTAGAAGACCATGATATCCAACCATGCCCTGTACTTCGATGCCCCCTGAGCTGAAGAAAGGGGTAGGACAGTAGGCAGGTTGTGCCTCGTGTGTTGTATCAGGCAAAGCTTGGCCCTCATGCTGTAGTAGGGCTTCACTGTTTACAAAAGCACTTCCAGGCTCCAGTCCCTGGAGCCTCACACAATGCAGGAAGGTAGACCAGGAACAGTGCCGTGGATGTTAACTGGAATTCAGAGAGGACACACATGGCGTGAGCCCACAAATTAGGCCCACTGTTCTCAGTCCACTGCTTTCCCCACTGTACTGTGCTGCCTCTGTCCACAAAATTTAATTCTGATCCGAGAAAGAAAACCCCTCCCATGCCCCCCACCCCCCATCTGGCAAGGGGCTCCTCCAGGGAGTGATCAAGGATTGTCTGTCAGGGATGTTATTTCAGGACAAAAGACAGATCTAAGTGGGACACAAGGTGGCATGGGGTGACCCCTGAGGGTCTTTTCTCCTGTCCATGACAATAGAAGTAAACAGGCAGTTTCAAAGACCCAGGAGGGGGGCCTTATCTGCCCACAGGAGAGACCCTGGGGAAATAGGACCAGATGCAGAGACTCTAGAAGACTCTGCCTTCCCGTTTTGAGAAGTTCCTACCTAATGCTTTAATCTTCTTCACTGTCTTCTCCGTGTTATTGGTCACGGTAATCGTCACCGAAATGGGCTCCCCATGGAAATAGGTCTGAAACAGTTAGCAGTTAAATCAGAAAAGCGGAACAGAGCATCATGGTATCGTGAATCTCATGGTTTTCTAGGTTTATCTCCATCCTTTAACCAGAATCAAAGTGGCTGAATTCCCACGCTTTCAAGATAAAGGGATAGCAACAGGGTTCCTTTAGAACACGGAACACGGTCTGCCTCATCTGGGGCGCACTGAGGAGAATGGCAGTGACCAGGGTGGAGTGGAGCAAGGGTTCTCCAGCCTGGAACGCCCAGTCCAGAGGGTCATAGCAGCGGTGGCCGTGGGGGGTACCACGTGGAGTCACAAGGCCACTTGGGGCAGAATGAGTGCTGGGAAGGGGAGTCAGTGGAGAGCTCAGGGACAGGGCTCTCCTCAGCAGTGACTTCCTCAAGATCCAGGATCTTGGGTGCACCCTTGCACACGTGTTCACAAATGGGGATTTAACCACGCCTAGACACAAGACAGCTTGCTAACACACTCCCAGGCGGGGCCCAGTGCTGGCCGCTGCTCACCTCTTTGTCGAGGGAGACAGCCAAGTGCAAGGGCTTGTCTGACATGAAGAACTGCCAGGAGGACTCAGCTTGGGGCTGGGGACCCATCTTTGCTGGCGCGTGCTGTACCTTCCGGATCAGTAAACGCACGGAACTCCTGTGGATGACAAACGCAGACAGTTCTGGGCTTCCGCCGGGTCTCCCCAGAGGGCGTCCAGGCCTCTGTCCCTGGCCTCACGCTGTGAAGCTTCAGGAACGCTCCCACGGGATGACGGTGTGGGCCTGAGGTCACTGTCACCCTCAGTCTCCAGGGCACAGCCAGGGGGTGACAGTGGGGGGGTGCTCTGTACGCCTCACATGCGTGACATGCTTCCACACTCCCCACAAACGTGACTTGTTACTACAATTGCTATTTATTAGAACAAGGCTCCACAGTGCGTGTGTTGAGCGTGAGGAAGAGTGTTGAGGGCACAAGAGAAAACGTCGTTCAGGTTCAAGAGGGAAGGTGAACGCTGGGGTCCACAAGGTCGGGGGGCCGGGGGGAGGGTCACTGCCTGACGGGCAGAGAGCCTCTGTCTGGAGTGACGAAATGTTCTGGGTGGGGACAGTTTGGGGTGGCAGACAGCACACAGGGTTGTAAGTATGGTCCCACGACACAGGGGAAGTACTTAAGGCCTCTAAAGCGCACACTCAGAAATGGTTCCAACGGCAAACTTCACGTGGTGTATATTCATCACAGTGGAAGAATGACCGAGAAGAAGAAAACTGAAGAGGGAGGGAATCCAGGGGCTGCTAGAGGCTTCTGTGAACCTTGAGGTTGCCAACCCCTCTGCCATTTTCCTTTTGTCCCCCAGATGATGAGCCGCTGACTCTGCCCCATGTGTAGACACCCTGACTGCTTGGGCTGGGCAAGCCCCATCTCCCTGGCCATGCAGCTCTGTCGGGGGAGCTGAAGGGAGGGGCTGCTTCCTACCCCAGCTCCTTGCCCCCCACCCTGGGCGCTGCCCCTTGACCCACAGCTACACTCTTACTTCTTGGGCACTTTGTCCTCTTCGTCCTCTGCGCTGTCTCTGGCGAATGCTTTGACCTCAAAGTCGACCCCACAGCACTGCAGAGAGCAAGAGAAGAGACAAGGCTTCAGTCCATGCCTCCCTTCCCGGCAGCTGGGATGGGGTCACACGTCCCACCAGAAAGTTATAACGGCACTCTGTCTTTTTGTCTTAGCCATGTCCTTTGGAGGGCTACCCCATGATGGCTAGATTTGCCACGTGCAGAAAGAACAGAAGGAAAGAACGATGTCAGGACTGGGAGTGGGCTGTGGCCCCGAGCTCCCAAGGAGATCATGTATGGTGTCCAGCCCTCCCTGCCCATTTAGTTGTCCCTCTTTGTGTGACCCCACATGCATGGCACTGAGGTCACACTGTAGACACAGGTGCTCACGAGGCTGGCAGGGGATCCAACCCTGGGGGGCCGGTTGGCCACACCCAGGTGTGGCCCGTCTGGAGCCGGGGCCGGGTGCTGGCGGCTCTTCCAACTTCTGCAAAGAAGTTGGAAATGGAATTGGGGGCAAAGTCTTCTGATTTTTAAACTGACTCAATAGCAATATGTTGTGTGGGCAGAACAAATGTCTCTGCCCCGTGGGGCTCCTCCCCAGTCGGCTCATCTCTGCACTTCACCGAGCGCAGGGCGGGCCCGGGGGCGGCACCGCGCTCACCAGCCACCCCGAGGGAAGAAGTACAGTCGGCTGAAGGACATGAAGTCGGTTCTGTTGACGGTGGCATATGAGCCACAGCCTCATTGGTTCTAACAGCTGTGGAATCGTGACAATTCTGAGATCTAGTTTAAAAATACACCAGCACGAGGGGTGCCTGGGTGACTCCTCCTGGTGCACACTCAGCCCCTTTCCTTCTCTCCCCCCATGGGAGCTTGTGCTTGGCCCACCCAAACCCTCTCTGCACAGTGGCCAGGGTGCCCTTGGGAAGCCCAAGTCAGCACCTACTGCTCAGGGCCCACCAGTGGCTCCCTGCTCACTGAGAAATGGCCCCAGGGTCCACACCTCCCCATGCCTCTCACCTACTCTCTCCATTTCGCCCTGCTCCTCCGCCCCAGCATACCAGGCAACATGCCTCTCTCTCTGGAAGGCTCTTCCCTGGGATAGCATGCCTTCTCCTTTACCCTCCTGGGGAGGTCTTCTTTACACATCCTGAACAACTAACTACACCCCCAGGTACCCCTTTGCCTCTCACTAGCCTCTTGTTCTCTAGAGTGCCTACTGTCCTTGGATGGACCCCGTAGACACCTGTTAGGTCGTTTTTGCCGGATTCTCCCCTGCAACCTGTGGGACCCACGAGGGGGCAGGACTGATTAGTGTTCCGTCCACAGGCTCCGTCCTGGCTAAAGGCTGCTAAAGATAAGATTCATTGCAATGTCTCTCTGCTTTTGTGCATGTTTGAAATTGTCCAGAACAAAAGGCGATTTTTTAAAAAAGTAATTTGAAGGAATGGATGAATTCACGGCCTTTCTTTTGCAACTAACCTTCCCTACGTCTTGCGGAGCGGGCTGCAGCATCACCGAGCAGGGTAAGTAATCAGGAAACTGCGGGAAGAAACAAACCAGTTAATTCAGAGGTGGTCACTCCACGTGTAATATGCACTCGATGTACAAAACTGGGAAAAGGAAGGAGGAGCAAACAAAACAACAACAACAAAAACCCACAAAAAGCAATGTTCTCCCATGTTGCCAAGACCCGGAATGAGGTCATAAACACGAACTTCCTAGTGTCCCGGGGGGTTCCCTCACACACGAATATGCACGTACACGTGTGTGTGTTACAGAGGTGAGACCCAGTGAGGCACGTGTTCTGTCATCTCCTTTGCTACCATCCCTGCCCTCACCCTCCTCGGAGTGCATTATGACCGCTTCACTGTGCCGTGAGTTGCGCCACTCTTCCGGGCTTTGGTAACACCACATTGAACTTGGCCAGCCCCCTTGGTCGGCTGATGTTTCAGTCACTGGGACTTTGCTTTTCTGCCATGATAAACAAGGGTGCCATAAACCTTCTTCATCCACCTCGGCACAATTTTGTGCCAATTAAGTTCACAGGCTATGCTGCTAGGAAGGGAACCATAGGTCAAAATCACATTTTTAAGGTTTTTGAGATGTGTTGGCATGTTAGCTCTCCAAGGTGATGTCCCTTCAAACTCCCCAGGACCAGATTGCGAGAACACGCGGGACCACAAAACTGCTTTTTCAAGTGATTAAAAAAAAAAAAAAGTTGTAGAGTATGCACAACATGAGACTTGGGTTTTCAGCACACCGTTTAGTGGTATGACGTCCATCCACGTTGTCCTGCAATATTCCCAGCATCCACTCCCAGGAGGTTTTCACCTTCATGCACTGAAGCTCCAACCCCGGTCAATGCTAACCCCACACACTACTCTATGCTCCGTGTCTATGACTCTCACTGCTCCAGGTTTCCCATGTAATTGGCATCAGACACTTGTGTGTCCTTGTGTGTCTGGCTTCTGTCACTCAGTCTAATGTCGTTGGGGTTCATTTGTGTTGCCGCGTGTGTCAGAATTTCCTTCCCTTTGAAAACTGAGCCATAGAACTTTGGAGAAATGTATAAACTTAAGACACATGAACATGCTAGTAAAAGAGGTAGTGGCAGCTTTCCCGAGACTGAGTTCAAGCCCAAGCCTTTCAGAGGCACTGCAGGTCGCCAGGACTCCCCCCACAAGAGATGGCGCTATTTATCTAGGGACCCAAGGCCCAGCAGTCAAGGCAAAGGACACTTCTGACTTGAGTACGCTCTCCCGTCCGTCCGGCAGGGAGCTCTTTCGTGTTTCGAGCTCCTCCGGGCCAACCGAGGGCCACTTCTTTCTTTTTATAGCCAAGCAAGTGAAGGAATAACCACCCATATAATTAGGTGGTCGGATGAAGGGAAATATTTAAACTGTAGGTTGAACTGGTGTCTACAGAGGCTGAGAGGCTATTTTCAAGGGCTTAAAAAAAGACAATCACAGCCCGTGCAATCTAGAATTTCCTCCAAGGAGGCAATTTGAAGGCCCACAAATGGGAAGTCATTGCTCCATCCCCTCTCCTGCCCTCCTGGTCATGCTGCAAGGTGCTGTGGGCGAAGGGACCAGGGCAGGGACCTGGAGGGGGAGAGGAGTCACCCACCTTGAGCAGGAAGGGGTATGTGTTGCCTCCCAGCTTCTTCATCAGGCTCTCCTGCAGTTTTGTGGGGGCAGGGGTAGCCTCCACGGGCGGGAACACCTGGGCCTGAGAGAAGTACAGGTCCCTACGGAAGCTCAGGCCGATCACATCAATGTCCTCCTGGCCGTAGCGGAAGGCGCAGGTCAGAGACACATACACTGGAAGGGAGACGAGAGGAAGGTGGGCTTGTCCCATCAGCATGGCGCCCCCCGCCTGGCCGGGTGAGCATGGGGCAACCCTGGACACTGCCTGCCCCTCCCCAGCGCCTGCCCACCTGGAGCCTCTGGAGGGTACGGATTTTGAGAACCACACCATCCAGCCACCCAGATGCCCGCACACTTCTGGAGATCCAGCACCTTCACTGGGGGCTTGTGCTGGTTACTCTAAAGGCATATGGGAGTCAGAGGACAGGGAGGCACCTTCCATGAACCACATATTTTGCCTACAGACCCCCCTGTGTCCTTCATCCTACCACCCCCATCTCTCTACCCACCAGCTTGGGGACCTCAGGAGGCTTTAACAGAGAGTGAAGGTGGGAAACAGAGGGAAAGAGAGCTAGGGAGCAAGACAGACCCGTGCCAGAGAGGGGTCGGCCAGAGCTTCAGGACAGGGGTTCGTGGACCAGGAGGAGAGAAGCCACCAGATCCCAGAAACACTTCTTTCATCTTGCTCAGAAACTTATCAAGCATTCTCTAAGTCAACACCTCTGAAAGTTCAGTTTGATTAAACAGACATAATCCATGATTGCAGCGGACCACAAGGATTATAGGAAACTACAGGTTTGGGGTGTGGACTATTTACAACAGTCTGTAATGGGGTAAATCAAAGCGCACAACGTGCATTCTTCTTGAACAGAAAGCATATCAGAAGTCCTTGGAAGTCCTCCCTTGTGGATTTTGTCTGTGTCTTCACCAAAAGCTCAGAAGAGCCGCTGATCACTTGCCTATCCCTCAACCAATGTTTGTGAGAGGAAGGTACCTAGAGATGACCTGGCTTTATGCCTCCCTCACTGTACCCTGCTTTCCCTCAGAGCAGCTGCCCTTCTCTGACCAAGGGTGTGGGCTTTCAGGGGTCAGACCAGGCTCCTCCAGGTGCCCAAGAGAAGCAGGACGCCCAGGAGGAAGTCGGAGACAGTAGAAGAGGTGATTTTCAGCCCCATTTCTGCCATGCCCCTTCAGAGCTGCCACATCCATGTGTGGGACATCTATGGACACATCCAGAGGTGGGAAAAATTCCTAGTGATTGCCAGTAGCAACCACTCAAAAGGTATAGTTAGAATGGAACGGAGTCAGTGACATTATCGTAAGGATAACTCAGGTCTCCCTTAATTTAGTTTCTACAACTATTATTAGTACCAGACTCCTTGCCCCACACATCACAGCTGCCAGATATCTGCAAGGATACTGTGATACTTTGCCTCAGAACCACCAGAGTAACCATTTAAAAAAAAAAAAAAGAAAAGAAAAGAAACGTCCAGCAGGCTCAATTTCCCCCTTTGGGGATAAACCCACCAATGGGCCCTCCTGAATTTTGCAGCTGGCCAGGGCACATGCACGGCTGGTGGAGGCCACGGACCTGCCTTCCACACTCCGGCCACTATTTACTTACCCTGCTGCCCAGGACAAGTGTCTCCCTTGGGTCTTAACTTTCATCTGAGAAATGGAGACAATGAGCTCCAATGTGAACAGGACAGTGTTCTGAAGATTTTAATGAGGGAGTGTGGGTAACAGTGCCTGGCGGTGACGGATGTGCGAGAGAGGGCACCAGCTGCTTCCCGGCTCCTCCTCCCCAGAGTCCCAACCAGACCTGCTCCTGGGAGGACAAGAAACCCAGCTCACCTTTCTTTCCCTTCACAAGTTCGGGATCCACCAACACGACACCATCTGAACCAAAATGGAGAGAGCAATGAGGGAGGAGAAGACGAAAGAAACCAGAGGACTTCTTTATATATTTATCTATGGTTTTTGTTTTGTTATGTTTTTAAGGAAGTTCCATGCCCAGCGTGGAGCCAGAAGCAGGGCTGAAACTCCGACCCCCCTGAGATCAAGACCTGAGCTGAGATCAAGAGTCAAGATCCTTAATCGACTGAACCACCCGGGCGCCCCTCTCTGTAGTTTTTAATTGCATGAGTAATCCGTGTTCATTATAGGAAAATTAGAAAGGGAAGGTAAGCAAAGAATAAAACAAAGTCAAATATCCACCACTCAGATCCCCATTGTCAAGATACTGGTGCAGAATTTTTTTACTAGATGTATATGCACTGATAAGGATGTTTTACTAAAAAAAATGAGATCCCAATATACGTACAATTCAGTTAACTGCTTTTCTCATACAACTATAAATTGCAAACACCTATTCTTACACAAAGACACACATAATACATACTCATCATTTTAATGGCCACACATGGCTCCACTGAACGGACATGCCATAAGTTATTCAATTAACCCCCTCTAGTTAGGGCATTTATTTCCAGTTTCCCTCATTATCATGAACAGGGTGATGAACATCCTTATAGATACATTTTTTTATCCATCGACAGTAGAACTGTATTTGGCTTTTGATGACATACTACCAGATGACCTTCCAGAAAATACTCTGCCGAGGGACATTCTCACCCTCAAGTGCCTAGAAATGCCAGGTTTTTTACACTCTCTCTCTTTTTTTTTTTTTTTTTAAGATTTTATTTATTTATTTGACAGAGAGAGAGATCACAAAAAGGCAGAGAGGCAGGCAGAGAGAGAGAGAGGGAAGCAGTTCCCCGCTGAGCAGAGAGCTCTATGCGGGACTCCATCCCAGGACCCCGAGATCATGACCTGAGCCGAAAGCAGAGGCTTAACGCACTGAGCCACCCAGGCGCCCCTACACTCTCTCTTTATTAAGATAGCTATTGTAGTTGAAATCATTACAGATTCACAGGAAGTTGCAAAGATAGTACAGAGAAGTCCTGTGCATCTTTCATTCAGTTTCTCCCAGTGGTTACATCTTAGATAACTGTAGTACCATATCGAAACTAGGAAGCTAGCTGACACGGGGTACACTGTATTTTCAGGTCCAAGTCATTTTACCTCATGTGGCGGTTGACGGCTCCCTCACCAGAGAGAGCTCTCTGTCTCTGTTCATGCCCTCCCCCAACCACCCAGCTTCAGCACTACCTCCTCCACGTCCCCTCCCAGCAACTACTGATCAGTTTACCATTGCCATTATTTCATCATCCCTAGATTATCATCTAAGTGAAATCGTACAGCATCGTGGCCTCTTGAGATCGGCTCTTCCCACTCGGCATGATGCAGGATCTTGAGAGCCATATGCTATTGTGTGTTATCAGTGGCTCGTTCTTTTTTATTTCCGAGTAGGATTTCATGGTATGGTTGTGCCACTGCCCGTTTCAACTGATTCACCTATTGAGAGACGTTTGGGTTCCTTCCAGTTTGGAGTGATCACAAATAAAGCTATCATAAACGATCGCACACAGGATTTTGTGTAGATGTGAGTTTTCACGGCTCTGGATGAGTGCCCGGGAATGCAACTGCTGGGTCAGATGGGACGTGTGTGTTTGATTTTTAAAGGAACTGCCAAACTCTTCCAGAGTACGTGTTCCCTTTTACATTCCTGCCAGCAATGTATGAGTGATCCGGTTTCTCAACATCCTCACCACCTTTTGGTGTTGTCACTATTTTTCATTTTAGCCATTCTTTTTTTGTTGTTTGTTTTGTTTTGTTTTTTTAAAGATTTTATTTATTTATTTGACAGACGGAGATCACAAGTAGGCAGAGAGAGAGAGGAAGGGAAGCAGGCTCCCTGCCGAGTAGAGAGCCCTATGCGGGGCTCGATCCCAGGACCCTGGGACCATGACCCGAGCGGAAGGCAGAGGCTTAACCCACTGAGCCACCCAGGCGCCCCCATTTTAGCCATTCTGACAGGGATATAATGAAATTCCAGTCCATAGTGGTTTAATTTGCATTTCCCTAATGGCCAATGATGTTGACCATTTTTCCATGGGCTTCTTTGCCATCCATATATCTTCCATATATCTTCTTCAATGAACTGTTTGTCGGGTTTTTGGTGCATTTTCTTTCATTTAAAAAAATCTTTTTTTAAAATTTATTTAACAGAGATCACAAGTAGGCAGAGAGGCAGGCAGAGAGAGGAGGAAGCAGGCTCCCTGCTGAGCTGAGAGCCTGATGCAGGGCTCAATCCCAGGACCCTGGGATCATGACCCTAGCCGAAGGCAGAGGCTTTAACGCACTGAGCCACCCAGGCACTGAGCCACCCAGGCGCCCCTTGGTGCATTTTCTAAGTGGATTTTACTTTCTTATTGCTGAATTTCTTTGTATATTCTAGAAAGGAGTCCTTTGTCTCCCCCACGCCAATCAGCCAGTGGCTACCTCGCTGACGTTTTAATTTGCATTTCTTTGATCAGATTATCAGCAAAGCCCATTTGAAAAAATACAAAAGGAGCTGTTGTCTGATGGCTTTAAGGAAAACCAGCATTAAAATTTAAATCTTAACTCCAAACTCAACTTACCCACAGGTTCTACTTGATCAATATGGTCTATATAGTCTCTCTTCCCCAGGTAGATGGTCACCTGTAGGAGGAACAGATGCAGATTCTAAGTGGCCAAAGAACACTAGCACATTCATGTTCAAAATCAGCAACAACCAAACCCCCCCCCCCAAATCCCCAAACCTGGCAACAACTGACACATTTTGATTACTCTTTTTTTTTTTTTTTTTAAGATTTTATTTATTTATTTGACACAGAGAGAGACAGCAAGAGAAGGAACACAAGCAGGGGGAGTGGGAGAGGTGGAAGCCCATTGCAGGGCTCGATCCCAGGACCCTGGGATCATGACCTGATTAACGACTGAGCCAGCAGGCACTCCACATCTTGATTAGTCTTGAGAAGACTTCCTGCCTGGCTCTGCCACTTGCCCATTCCCTCCTCTCTCCCTGTTTGGCTGTGGGCAGACTATGGATTACAGGCAAGTCGGACTCTCTCCTTGGTCCCATAAATTTGCTCCAAGGAAGTCTTCCCACCCCTTTGAATGGTTCCTGTTCTCCCACCTTTTCCCACCAAGCTCAGGTCTGACATTAACCAGGTGACCTTGTTGAATTCACTAGTAATACTTCAGTGGAAAGTTATACTTATGCAAATGAGGCTCATCCCAATGTTTAAGCCTCTTATTTCTGGCTGTAAATGAAAGGTTTCCCCTCCTCATTAGAAGTATATCTGAACTGAGCATAGAGGCAGGAGCTCCAGAGTCCCTGAAATCCTACCAGGTGAGCTGCTGAACAGGTACACCTGAACCAATGCTCTGAGCAGGAGGGGCGGAGGTGTTGGGGGCGAAGACCGCTGTTTCAGTCCTCTTCCTGTCTGCTGCGTGTCCTTTGCAGTGAAGGTCTCTGCCAACCCCCTTTGTGGAAGAGCATGGGTTGCATTCACCATCACTCACCACTCTAAGCCACAGGACTGTGAGTGCCTTGATTGTGGGAATTCTTTCATCGTTCAGCCATCAAGTTTCTACCACAGTACCTGGTGCACAACAGGATTCTAATCCACATTTGCTAAGGGCACCAATGAGTGAGTCCGTGCACTCTGCCTAGCCCCCTTCTTCCCTAAGCCTCTTAAATTGGTATTCTTATGTCCGTGAACTCCCAGAATCATTTCTGTTGGCATTCAATCATCTCCTATTTCCACCCCCTTGTATCAGACATCCTGGAGTGAATCCCTATACCTTCACTTTGTAGGACTGATGTTGAATCACCCCAAGGACTACCTAGGCAGGTGGCTGGGCAGGAGGTAGGTGTTAGATGGTATGAGGATGTTTTCTGGACAAAACCAAAAAATCAGTGTATACAAAGCCCAGAATGCCTCTGGAACCAATGGCCACCAAATGGGAATGCAGGCTGGTGCCGGAAAGGGTCTTACAGGCCCAACCTTAAAGACTCTAGGAAAATGGTAAAGCATTTTTTAAAGATTTTATTTATTTGTGAGAGAGAGAGCACAGGGGAGGGGCAGGGGAGAGGGAGAAGCAGGCTCCCAGCTGAGCTGGGAGCCCAACAAAAGGCTCGATCCCAGGACCCCAGGATCATGACCTCAGCCGAAGGCAGGCGCTTAACCGACTGAGCCCCGCAAGCGTCCCCAATGTTGAAGCATTTTGAGCATCATGAAAGGCCTGCAGCTAAACAACAGAGTATTTATCATGTCCCAGGTGCCAAGCTCAGCACCGACTACATTATTTCACTGAATCCCCACAACCACTCTGTGAGATAGGAATTGGCCCCATTTTAGGGAGGAGATGACGGCAGCAAAGTGGAGAATGAATGGACAAGGAGAAAGCCAGTTAGGCATTTGACTGTGGTTGGGAGTAGAGAAGACTGAAGGTAGGTGGAGAGAGTGTGTTTTCTTCTTTTTCAAGCTTTAGCTGAGGAGGAAGAGGAACTGGAAAGGCAATAGGGTCAAGGGGAGTTTGTTGGTTGCTGTCTTTAAGATGCATGAGGTCCGTACTTGTTTGTATGCTCAAAGAACTGGGAGGGAGGGAGGGAGGGAGAGGCTGATGATGGAGGACGCTAGGGAGGAGATGGCCCCTGAGACCCAGGTGTAAATAACATGAACCTCAGCTGTGAGCAAAGGCATGTCTTCTGCAGCAATTGGAAGGGGAGGGGAGGCAAGGGGCAGGAGCAAGAAGAGAAATGGGGCTGAACAATGTGGGACTGCAGCCCACCGGCTGCTTGTTCAACCAGCAAACCAAGCACCCTTCTTCCCGGATACAAGTTGCCAATTATGTTGACGGTTTTACCATCCCCCATGGGGTGAGGCCAGCCCCGGAGGATGGTTCTTGAGGGGTCTGATCCAATTATGATCATCCAATTCCTTTGGCTCAGGACTGGTTTAGGGTGGGCATGAGACCCATTTTTGACCAATGAGATATGAGGGAAGTCTGCTGGAGGGCTGTTGGGAAAATATTTTCCCACTCTGAAGAAGAGATACCGGGAAGCAAGAGCCTCTTCCTTCTTTGGGAAGGAAGTGAGGGTGAGATGCCTGGAGCTAGGCAGCCATCTTGCCACCAGCTGGAGATGAAGATCACAGAAGAGGGCAGAGTGGAGAGAATCACCGAGAAATGGGCCCTGGGCTCCTGGTGCACCATGCCTAGAGCCATACAGAGGTTGCAATTGGAATAGTCCTAATATGTGAGACATTAACAGAAGGATCCCCCCCCCCATATACAACAGTTCTAAATTTCTTGGTTCAAAGGTTGTGTATAGATATGAGGGGGGAAGAAAAGTGGGAAAATGACAGGGCCCGGCAGGAGTGGTTTCTCTCTTCTGCCAGAAGTCAAGACAAAGTGTGTTGAGAAGATGCAAAGTTGGGAGAGAGTTTGGGGAATGGTTGAGGAGGTCCTCAAATCATCACCCCAAAGTGGAGTTCCTCAGCTGGGAACAGAAAGGGCAGAGAATGCCTGGTGCAAACATGTTTCTCTTGTGTTGCGCTATGAGAATCAGAGAGTTTCCTCTGGGCCTTTGGCTTAACATTTAAGAAACCCAAAAGGAAAAATCCAAAGTTCAGGTTTATAAAACACAGAAAATAGAGCAATTCTAGGCCATCCACTATGCCCCAATAGGGTCAACAGTGGCATCATCTCTGCCAAGCACACAAGCTGCCCGGATATGGGTACCATGTTCCCTTACCCAGTGACCCCGAGCCAAGTGAGGACTGAGGGCATGGTGGCTGGGGTAGGCACACAGAAGATAGAGCTGCCTTGGTCCAGCACTAGGGCTTTCCCCTGGCAGGCAATGAGATGACAAAAGACCAGATGAGTTACTATCGACAAAACAGTGTTTGAAATGTCAAGTCATTGTTTCAAGGGCAGCTAGGAAAAGAAGTAAAATTGGAAGTAAGGGGGTGGGGGCTGAGAGACAAGGAGAAAATTAAGGGTCTCAGAGTTAGGTTCTTTAGGAGACTGAAAAGAAGTTCTACATGTTCAATTCGTTCATTCAATTATGTCTCATTGATCATTCATTGCAAAATAGAGACAGAACACAGACACGGAGCTTCCCTCAACCTCTCAGGAATCTGGTGTTGATCGTGTCTATTTCTTTAAAAAAAAAAAATTTTTAAAGCAATCTCTACACCCAACATGGGGCTTGAACTCATGAGATCGGGAGCTGCATGCTCAGCCAGGTGCCCTGGGTCTATTCTCAAGAAAGATCCTTTAAAAAATATATATTATTTTTTTCCCCCATCACGCCACTCACTTCTGTACCACTTACCGACTTGTCCCGGGAGACTTTCTTGAAAATCACGTGGTTTGGCTCAGACTTGCTGCCCTTTGCGTTGGCTGCCATGGTCCCTGTCGTCGGCAGCTGGCTTCTTCCACCTCGGGGTGTGCGTCTGGTGTCTGCGGCCTGCAGAGAGGTAAAACAATGCCGTGAGTGCAGTCAAGAACATTCTGGGTACAAAGCCTGCTCATGAGATGCTGCACGTCCGGGAGACATTTCCTTATATCTGCTTAAGTATTGTTGTTTGATGAAATAAGGATTTTGTCTTGTGTGTATGACACATGGGGGTAGGGGGTGCTTTTTTCCAAACATGTGTTTTCTTTTTCTCCATAAGCCTCAAACATTTCTTAGTAAACCTCAGCTAGAAGGTTTGCCTTCCTGACTAGCCTTTGGTATCGGCACACTTCGCCAGGTTGGAATCAAAATTCTATCACGACGATGTCCCATGGTAATTAGAATAGGAGAGGTTCCCGAAAACCGCAACACAACCACTTAGCAAATATCATTTGAAAATGTGTTAAATCCCCAGGAGTCCTGTCCTGTTCTCCCACCGCTCCCCAGCGTGACACACAGTGGAAAGGCCCTCTTAGCTGTCTGGACCTCAGCACACCCTGAGTCTCATTAACTAGCAAAATCTGTGCAACCACACGGAAAAGGTGAAAGTGAGACAGACTGACCACAGGAAAACACCGGTGGTCCTGCCCCTTGCTCTCCCTGTGCCTGCCCTGGAGGTCTGAGAAGCTTTGGATCAGTGGCCGCCATGTACCTTGTTCAGCCAGCCAGAAGGGCCCAGGAGGCGAGGAGAGGGGCTCTGTCCCTCTGGGGAGAGCGGCCGGCCCCTGCTCTATGTAACCAGATGACCCTGCGGAGGCCCCTGGCTTGACGTGCGTGGGGGAATTTGTAGGGAACCTGGAGAGGGGGCCCACACCCGCGTCTCAATGTCCAGAAGCCAAATCCCATTTAAGGAGCAGAGTGGAAATGGGATTAGTGTTGAGATGGGTGAACTGGTGGTTTCAGCAGTTCTAAGCATTAGGCAAAGGCCTCTAGTCTCCTTCCAGAGAGGCTCACAGATGTAGGAGCTCCAGTGGGGAAGGCGTGGTGGGAGGGACGAGAGCTAAAGAAAAGCTACTTTCTATCCTAACCCTCTTTGGGTTCTGGAAATAGACTGATTATCCCTTCACTCCCAGTATCACCAGGACAGGGGATTTTCAAGTGCTCAACAGACTTGATTAAACTCAGCAGGCTGCTAATGCAACCTTGGGGTTGGGGATAGAAACAAAAAGGTCAAGGGGAAATGTCAAGCTCGGAGATGAACCCTGGTCTTATAGAAGCCAAACCCATGTGGGAAACAAAGACCAGAGGAAATGTAGATAAAATTAACCGTCCTTATAACCTGCAGCCCACTGACAAATACTTGAGGTGGGCAGGGTAGAACGGTCCTCCAGGAAGCTCCCATCTTAATGTTAATGCCTTGCTGGAGAGAAAAACCACCTTCGCTTGACAATAGCCAGGCCTCCAGTATCCTGTAAGTCTTCTTCAGCATCTGAAAATCCTTTCAGAAGTTCCCTTTGTCTTTACTCCCCTAAACCCCAAAGTGTATAATCAGTTGTTCCTCACAATCCCAGGCCAGCATGGGTCCTGTCCATGGGTCCTGTCCCCGTGCTTTAATAAAATCATATTTTGGCACCAAAAGCGTCTCAAGAATTCTTTCCTGGCCATCGGCTCCGGACCCCAACAACACTACTCCAAAAACACATCAGAACTGGAGGTTCCTCTCCTCCACCCCACGCCCTATTGATTATGGAGACGAATCTTGTCAGATCTGCCCCCTCTCCTACACCCTGCCTCCCCAGTGTCTCTGGAATCTGACCACATCATCCCATCCCCAGAGCGTTCTCCTGCGTTCACAGCACCCCCTTTGCTTTCCTGGACCATAATGTCACCTGCTGTCGGACTCTATCCCTCTTCAGCTGCCAGGCCCTTCTGCACGTGGAAGAAGGCCCTTCCAAACCCTGATCTGTCCTCTCCACCTAGTGTCTGCTCTGAGAGAAGACATGGGCACCTGCTTTCCACATTGTCCTGCACTGCGTTCCCCCTGCTCCCCCATACTGTTCTTTTTGCCTAGAATAATCCTCTCCTCTCTCCAAGTTGCTGACTCCTTTCACGCTTCAGATGCTGGAAGAGAGGAGTCCCATCCTCAGAGGAGGCTTTCCCAACCTCCCTCCCAGGCTGGGTTGGAGGCACAGTCGCCTTTGACAACTGTGTGGGAAATTATTTCATGGTCTCTCTTCCCTTACTTGACTCTAGGCTCCAGGAGGGCAGGGGCCCCTCCCGTTGTTTCCCTCACCATTGCATTCAACAGCTGCTTCCAAGAACATTCAGGGAATAAACAGATGGGACATTGTGGCCACTAACACATTCACATATTGAACTTGACATGGTGTCTGAGAATGAAGCAAGTCTAAGCAGAAAGCTTGTTCTAACATTTGAAATGCTAGCATGAGTGGAAACTTCCAGTGACTTCCTCCTGCCTAGACAATGCCTGTGAGGCCCTCCAAGATTTGATCCCTTGTTACTTCTAACCCTCTTTCTTTTCTTTCTTTCTTTTTTTTTTTTTTAAGATTTTATTTATTTGACAGAGAGAGTGAGAGAGCACAAGCAGGTAGAGCAGCAGAGGGAGAGGGAGAAGCAGGCTCCCCGCTGAGCAGGGAGCCCGATGCAGGGCTCTATCCCAGAACCCTGGGATCATGACCCGAGCCGAAGCCAGTGGCTTAACCAACTGAGCCACCCAGGCACCTTTGTCCCTTTAAAAAAAAAAAATGCAGGGCTTGAACCCACAACCGTGAGATCAAGACCTGAGCTTAGCGGACTGAGCCACCCAGGTACCCTGACCTTAGTTCTCACTACTCACCCATTTTGCTCCAGGCCATCTTTGTCTTTGCTTTTCTTCAAACCAGCCTCAAGGCCTTTGCACTTAACTGTTTCCCCTTCTGGACCATTCTTCCCACAGAGAGCCACTTGGTTTGCTTCCTGAATTCCTCTGGGTGTTTACTTCAGTGTGACCCCATTCACCTGGGCCCTATTGTGCGGTCTATCATGCGCCAAAACTTGTGGCCTCCTCTGCATTATTTTTCTCCATTGCCCTCATCACAGTCTCGCATGCAGAAGAACCTGTGTATCTTGTTTCCTGTCTGTCCTTCACCCCATTATCACTAGCACATAAGCTCCGGGAGTGCAGAGAACCCTGACTTTATGCACCTATCCCATCTCCAGCATCTAGAAGAGGGATCTCATTATACTTGAAGCACATGGATGAGTCACTGGACTACAACAGCGTGATAGCTGGCAATAGTTAAAATTGAGAAACAGTATTTTTAATTTCTAAGGGAGAAAACTTTTTTAAACCGAGAAATGCCAGCTACTAAATGCAAAAGGAATGATGAAAGTAGAAAAACACTCTGACAAACTCTGAGTGGATTAATCATGACTTCTGATTTCCTCTATTTTTTTAAGTTTGTTTGTTTATTTATTTATGTAATCTCCAGGCCCAATGTAGGGCTCAAACTCACAACCCCGAGATCAAGAGTCACATGGTCTTCTGACTGAGTCAGCCAGGTGCCCCCTATTTTCTGCCTTTCCGATGTTGTGACATCCTGGGCTCTGGGCTGGGAGGGGCAGACTCCCTCCCAGGGCTACTCCTTCCCCAGAGACTGCAAACAGCTACCTTTCATATGCAAACTAACCAATCCGGACCCCAGACGCCACTGCAGTGGCGTTGGTTCCTCATGGGACAGGCTCTCACGCAGAGCCACTACTGCCTTACCCTAATCATCCCCAGACCAGGATTCAGCCAACTGGAGAGAGCCCGTCATCACAGAGCCTGATGAAGTTATTCAAACTTTCCAATCCTAAACCCACTTATCTTGCCTCACCAGTTCTTCCCCTTGGAAATTATAAGGAAACTCTTGTCCATGTTTTCCTCCTCCATACCTCTGCCTCCTGACCAAACCTGGTGCTTCCCCCACGTGGCCCTGTGTGGCACAGGCTGTCCGCTCCTTTCAAGAACTGTAACAAATTACCTTTTCAGTGGCCATTGTTTCCTGATCTGTTGGTCTTATCATTGTTGAATGATAGCAAATACCCATCTTAAAATACTGATAAAATGATCGACTCCAAAAAAGATTCTTCATTGGGGTCAAAACCATCAGGTGAAGAGTTGGTGGGGAGGAATGGCTGTCCCTATTAGCACCAAAGTGATGGCAAATGGATCCTGGGCTCACCACGAGGTGCAAGCCTGGCCTGCACAACAGGGGACCAGGCAAGGTCCACAGTCAATCTTAGCAGCCACAATAGTGAACGGGAATCCATTAAGCATTTCGACATCACTTCCAGTTTATGAGAAATGCAAGGAATAGAGGAACAAGCTAGAAGACACCACAAGAGAGCTACCCGATGAATGGAGAAGTAGCTGGTGTCTTTCATAAGCCGATGTCACAGAAAAGGGAGGTATTTGATTAAAAGACACTCAAGGTACTCAACATCCAGATGTAATGTGTGATCCCAGACTGGATCTCCAATTTGAAAAATAGGATCTATAGGACATTTGAGTCCATCGGGAAAATCTGTATATGGTCTAGGTGACATGTAAGACAGAAATACCTGGAATAGGAAGGTAGAGATTATGACCAAACAACAGTCATAGGATGGCATGTGCAATATGACCATACCCTGCAAACGCATATACTCTGTGTGTATACACACACACACACACACACATACACACTGCAAACACATACACTCTGTGTGTATACACACACATACACACACACACGCATTATATGCATAATCTGCAAGGATACATACTAAGGAGCTAACTGGTCTCTGTATGGTGGGTATGTCAGGTTTCACTTTTTTTTTTCCTTGTCTGTGATTTAAAAGTTTTCTCCAAAAATCATTTACTTCTCCTAAAGCAGAAAGGTTAAAAGATAACATTGTTATAAATTTAGAAGAGTATCTGCTTTTCCCCTTAAAAATACGCCAACAAGAGGAAGACAAATGACCAGGGTGTTTCTTTCCGTGTCCCCATCAGAGGAGCTGCAGCATCTGGGACCCACTTGCAGCTGTGGCTGCTCTTGGGACACCCATTCTAACATAGTTTTGTTAAAACCAGGTCGCTGGGAGGGTGCAGACTGATGGATTTCAGTCACTGACCCGCCAGTTCCCGGCACGTGGGGTTGGGCTGGATACTGGACCTCATTCCTTTTGGAAATATAGTCTCTGGTAGTCATTCCCAGCCTCTGGTCTGTGATGAATTTATTTCTGCTTGGCAGAAAAATGAGAAAAACAAGGGCACTGTTGTAAGCTTTGTCATGGAGCAAAATGTCTTCACTGTAAAGGACTGTCCTCCTTTTTTCTAAGGCTATAAAGTCCTCAATTTTTGGATATTAAAATGTCCTTTCTCTCTTTCGTTATTGAGGTACACTTTACATACATGCAAAGTTGCCCATTTTAAAGTACAGTTTGATGAGTTTTACTAGGACTATGGTTAAGGCAGAACATTTCCATCCCCCCAAAAGTTCCCTGGGCCCCTATTTCGGTCATTTCCTCCATCAATCCCCCAATTTCAAGCCACCCCTTATCTGCCCCTCCCATGAGTTTTGCATTCTCCGTAATCTATTGTGAAGTTCAGAATATAGAGAAAAGTTGGAATAACACAATAAACACCCACATAGTCCTCTGTGAGATTTGACAATGAACACTTCAGTGCGTGTGCTCACCTATTGTTTTTTCCTTTTGAAGCGTCTGAAAGTAAGCTGCAGACATCATGACACTTTAGTCATAAATATTTCAGCCACTGAGCGTAAGGACAAAATGTCCTTTCTTTTATAAGATAAAGATGAGAGTAGATGGTAGTTTAGAAAAAAATCCTTACTTGGCCAAAATAAAAAGTTGTCAGCCTTTCCCTAGAGTTATTTTGGAAATTGACAGCTCTATGAATGCGAAGTCTGGGAACCACTGGTGACAGCAACGCTTGCTTCTCTCAAGTCGGTGTCCAGTGAGATGAAGCTCCAAGCCCCACATTTCCCCTCCAGGTAGCAGACGCAGTGCCAGCCAGCTCGCAGGGCCGGTGGGGTGGAGATGTTCAGCTTAAGAGGCTTATGGGCTTCAGGGGCAGGTTATCGTCTTAGGGCTTTATTAGGGCACATGCACGAAGAAAACCGGTACACCCTGCTAAACATCAACTACAAAATGAAAATCTTGAGTCCTCATTGCCTTGGTTTCCCTGAAGCAGAGAGCCCCGGAAAAGACTGGGGCAACTCTATTTACAGAATGCCAGGGAATCAGAACTTTTAAAAAGCCACCTTAATTCCAGCATGGACCTCTTGGGCAGCTGGCCTAAGGAGTAGAGGGTGGTTGTTGGTTGGGCTGGTTTACAGTAACTGAAATCATAAATGGTATCCTGGGGGTTCTCAAGTTGGGCAGATGCTTTAAAAAAGAATATCATCCAAGAGATCCTGGGTGGCTCAGTCGGTTAAGCATCTGACTTTTTTTTTTTTTTAAAGCTTTATTTATTTATTTGACAGAGATCACAAGGAGGCAGAGAGGCAGGCAGAGAGAGGAAAGCAGGTTCCCTGCTGAGCAGAGAGCCCGAAATGGGGCTCGATCCCAGGACCCTGGGATCATGACCCAAGCCGAAGGCAGAGGCTTTAACCCACTGAGCCACCCAGGCACCCCAAGCAACTGACTCTTGATCTCAGCCCAGGTCTTGAACTCAGGGTTGTGAGTTCAAGCCCTGCAGCACTGAGGCTCATGCCCACCATGGAGTCTACTTAATAAATAAATAAATAAATAAATAATAAAAAGAATGTAGTCCACACGCCATCCCTTGCTTGGCTCTCTCCACAACATGCACAATAAGAAGTTGTTGAATGCTTCTGGGGATGGGGAAATCATTACCACCTTTTTTGGAAACAGTGTCACATATAAGAAAATTCTTTGTTAGGAAGGGCTCAGCTTCCCTTCTACTTCCCTCCTTTGCTGCAAGTTAATCTAATCTCTTCCACGGGTGACTCATCTGTGATTAGGACCCAGGTGCTCATTTCTCATGGGCATTGCCACCGCCTCACCCATGCTGGGGTCCCACCCCTAGTCAGATTTTGAATGTCCGTCTTGAGGCATTGTGCTGAGAATGGCACTTGGTGCTCCAGGTTTCCATGCTATATAAACCGCCCCAGGCTGGAGTCCAAGGTTCTGTGAGCCATTGATGGGTCCCCCGCGACCTTGGGGAAGTACCTGGCCTCACAGCTATTTCCTCTTCTTCCTCTATAGAAGGGGAGCCGGTGAGCTGCCCTCTCTCAGGGCTGGGGAGATGCATCAAATGTGCAGATGAGTCCCTTAAAAGGAGAGTCGTGCACAGAGTGGGGGGTGGAGGATTCTGCCCAGCACTTCCCCTCGTCCTTTCCTACAAGGCTGACATGCGCCTCCATGTGTTCCTCTGTTCTTTTTCATCCTCATCATGCCACATGGGTCCCAGCACTAGGGGGCTTCCAGGGGCCATGAAGCTGCTTCGATACAAGATTTCGTGGCCGAGCACCAACTGAGCTGCTCACTCCTAAAGCTGAGCACACTTAGGGGGAGGCCTTTCAGAGGAAATGAATGTTTGTGCACATGCACTGCCCCTCCGCAAATCTACAAGTGGAAGCCCTAAATCCCCAGGGTGACAAGGTGCGGGGAGGTGAACAGGGTTGGATGAGGTCACAGGGCGGGGCCTTGATCTGATAGGATTAGTGTCCCTGTAAGAGACACCCACTCTCCACGATGCAAGTGCACTCCCAAGTCCGGTGAGCACAGGGCGACAGCAGCGACCTCCGACCTCCGACCTCCGAGCTAAGGCCTCCGGAGGGAACCTACCTGGTGGGTGCCTTGACCTCAGGCTACCAGCCTCCAGAGGCGGAAGGAAGAAGTATCTGTTGTCAGAGCTGCCCGGTTTGTGGTGTTGCGTGATAGCAGCCCGAGCTAAGACAAGTGCCCACACTTTTCTTCAGGTAGATCAGCTGCTTGGTGTAGATCAAAAAAGTCCGGAAAAAATGGACACTGATCCAGGTTCAGAAATGTCCCTTTTTTTGCTGGAACCAGACAGGCGTGGCAGTGGAACACTGTGAATATACTTTAAAATGGTTACTTTTATGTGAATTTCAATACATTTAAAACCAGTAAAAAAGAAATAGACTTTTACACTGTGACCTGAAACCTACACATGCACGCACAGAACACTATCTACGCAATACTTTTGCTTCCTCTGTGGTTTATTCTTAGGTTTTTAACTACTCTCCCTCCCTCCTCGTCATTCGTCCCATTGGCTGGTTAACGACCCACCCTTCTGGGGCTGTCTGGTTAGGTTTTTGCTGATTCAGTCTACTAAATACGAACTTGACTCAGCGTCCATGATGCTGAGCACCACAGCGGGGCAGCGGGGTTCCTGAGAATTGACGTACAGGTTCTTAGAACCATCTGGGCATGTACTCTAGGGAGCAGCAGCACTGAGGGCTTCCTAACCAGAAACCAGAGTGCGCGCAGCCTGCATGCTGCCTGGCCTGGCTCACAAGCTTAACTGCCAACCATCTCCTAAGGCTATTGCTCTGGGAACACAAAGCCCAGAGCCCGATTCACCTGCCCTCCTCTCCATGTCTAGGGTCAGGGCAGAGCCACAGAAGCCTGGCACATGGCTGTGCACAGGGCTACTGTTCCCATCTGGGACACACATACCAATTCTATGGGGAAAGTCAACCAGATCCAGCGTGGGGCATAAAAAAAAGTCAGCAACAGATACTGCTCTAGAATAAAAAAGACCCAAAAGGAGAACAGAACGGAGCCCTTATTGTGGACAACTGCCATAACAGCTCCAATTCATTCCTGTCTGTCCCAATTCTGCTGGGTGGCGCCCCACACTCAGGCAAGGGTGCTCGTGCCATCTGCTCTGGCCAGTGAGATGGGACAAGGCAACATGGGCATAATGACAAGTGCCCGCACATTGATGGGTGCAATCTTGCTGCATCATTCTTGCTTTCCTAGCTGCCTGCCAGATGTGAGGGCACCCTCTACCATTCATCCCCAACTGGGTCAGCCCGGCCCACTCACAGGTTTGTGAGAAATAATCACTGTTTTAAGCCATTACAATTACATTTTAAGGTAGTTTGTTATGTTAAATCCTGATCCAAACAAGCCCATAGTAAACACCCACTGTTGAAACAACTGGGAATATTTGAATCTGGACTGAACACACAAATGTTTGCTCTGCCTCCTCAGATTTTGGGGCCACTTTTTGTGGGTGAGCTCACTGAGCCTGTCAGTCAGTCAGGGTTAAACGAGGGCTGTGTAGCCCAGGGGAAAACTCACAAAGGAGAGTGGGAGTGTTTGAGGAGCACAGCATGGCTGGAGCACACAGAGGATCGAAGTATCTGGAATGAAGGCAGGGAAGGGTTGGGAGGCATAGATGGAAACCAGTAGGGCTGTGCTATGAAGCCAAAGCTCCCTGAGGTACGAAAATCAAATTATGTGGAGGTGAAGCAGATTAAAAAGTAATTTTACTGGACTGTACCACTTTTTTTAAATTTTCTTCCAGAATCTATACAAATGGGTATATTTCACCTTCCTCAAGATTCCCCAAGTTTGGGGTGCCTGGGTGGCTCAGTGGGTTAAGCCTCTGACTTCGGCTCAGGTCATGATCTCGGGGTCCTGGGATCGAGCCCCACGTCGGGCTCTCTGCTCAGCAGGGAACCTGCTTCCCTCTTTCTCTCTGCCTGCTGCTCTGCCTACTTGTGATCTCTCTCTGTCAAATAGATAAATAAAAATCTTAAAAAAAGAAAAAAAAAAGATTCCCCAAGTTTATTACTGGCTTGAAAACTTGGGATTGGGCGCCTGGGTGGCTCAGTGGTTTAAAGCCTCTGCCTTTGACTCAGGTCATGATCCCAGAGTCCTGGGATTGAGCCCTGCATCGGACTCTCTGCTTAGCAGGGAGCCTGCTTCATCCTCTTTCTCTCTCTGCCTGCCTCTCTGCCTACTTGTGGTCTCTTGTCTGTTGAATAAATACATAAAATCTTCAAAAAGAAAACTTGGGATTTCTAGCGAGTGGGCATTTCCTTACAGCACAAGAGAAAAGATGGAGTGGAGTAAAGTCAACCCTGTGGCCAGCCCCAGGCCATCTGGTGGCAGCCTCACCCTGTAGGCCTGGAGGGGTGTGTGGACTGGAGGCGTGGTGCTCACTAGGGGTCAGGATGCTGGAAGAGCTTCTCAGTTAACTATGAAACTCCCCCCAAGTTGTGACACGGGACACAGTTCACAGATCACAAGGTTTGAGAGCCATAGGCTTCTGATTATGATCTGAGGCCTCACAGGAACCCAGAAATGTTTGTGGTTTCTGCAATCCGGCAGTCTCAGAGGGGAATTTCATCAGGGCCGCTCTTTCCTGGTGCCCACACGGGTGAGGGGTTTCAAGTGCACCTTTCAAAACATCTAGTTCTCTAAAAGCAGGGTCATGCTGTGCCACACGAAAACACAGGTAGCTCTGCACAAGAGATCTGGAACTTCCTAACCAAGCCACCCTTGGGGCCAGGTTGGCCCCTCCAGGCTGAGATTACCTGAGTGTCCACACAAATTCTCCTGCATGCCACGATGCGAAAGATGCAGAGGGGCTTTGCAGGACTTACAGGACAAAGGCTAGTACGTATGTGACATGTACTTTTAAGAATAAGGCACTGACCTTGATTTATCACACTATTTTGGGAAATGACCTAGGGAACGTAAGTTCATTTAAAAAATGTTTTTAAAATCCTCAACTTCTGAGGTATGTTCATGTCTGGGTCAAAGCTGCCATCACTTACCAGGGAGCACACCAGCTCCCACCACCCAGATTCATCTGGGAAATGGAGAAATTCCTGCGACCATCTCCTACCCCCACCAGCAGAAGCTGCAGCAGCAGGGAGGGTCCCAGACGATTGGACAGATTTTGGGGGGTATCAGGACCATGAGTCAGATGAAGTCCTCCCCCACCGCCCGTGTGAGCCCACACAAATACACTCAGCCAGGGCAGTCAGGTGACCTGAAGAGAGCTTCACGGTATACAGATGGATCTCAAACCAAAACCTCTCTTTGTTCAAAGTGGAGAGCAGCCAAGCTTCCCTCCAAGTTCAAAGAAAACAGGATAGTTGGAGGTTATTGCAATGCTTACTTCACACCTCTTTTAAGAATGACTTACCCTTCTTGAAAGTGACTACAAAAGACTCCTTTGGCTTTTTGGAGACTGCTGGCTGCCTCTGAGACTTCAGGTCACAAAAGAATCCTGCCCCCAGGTGCTGGGCGAAGTGGATGTTCGGCTGTCTCCCCCCCCACAAACAGTCGTCATAAGGGAATAGACAGAGGTCTTGGGGTGGGGGTGGTGGCTCCAGGAGATCAGGATTTGTCCCAGCACAAGGGTGCTTACTAGAGACCCAAGGCCCTGCGAACACATCACTCTTCTGTGAGGTAATTCATGGCCCTTCAGCGAAGAGGCCGGAGACCAGCGGAGACCGGTAAGGCTCATCATCGATCCTATGGACAAAGTCTCCAGTGCGAAACCGGGTACTCTCACCAGCTGCAGCACAGAGCTGATGGCAGGGGTCTTGTGAGTGCGCTGGGCGCTCACGGGACAGATGCAGGATTCATGAGATCCTAAGACTTACATGCGAGTGAAACTGGAATGCTGGTTTACAGGCAGTGGTAACGGAGGCTCGAATGATGAACGAAGAGGAGAGACCCCAGGAAAATAGCTGTTATTTACAAATGAACAAATACCACGAAAACAGATGAAAGAAACAGCTTTTTCTTGGAAAGACAGAGGAGCACACAATAACCATGAAGAGACACAGAGTTTGAAAAGTATATAACCGATTTCTTTTTTATTTACAATCAAGTTTTGTTGGGCAACATAAATAAATAAAAGATGCGCCCTGGCCTGCGAATTCTACCTCCCCTTGAGCTCTTGGAGCAGCAAGCTGGAAGGGGCGGGGGGAGGAGGGCCAGGGAGAGAGGGAGGATGGACACGGCACCCCTCCTCACCCAGCTCCAGCTCTCCTACCCACAGCTGTCCAGAGAACAAGTGTGGAAGGAAAAAAATAAAGTGCAAATTAAAAAGTGATGAAAGTACTGGTGTTTCAGTCACTCAGGAACTAAAATGATATACACAGGTAAAATGGTAAAGATAAATGTTTTAAGAAAAAAAAAAAAAAAAAGCGCCACAGGCCAGATTTTCCCTGGCCTTGATCCGAACTCCTGACACCTAAAGATGACATTCCCATGCTTCTTGGAATGGGCTTCTCGCACTAAAGCACCGAGGGGTATTGCACATAGGCTTGGCAAAGGGGCAGTGACCCGGAACTGCTGGCTCCAGGCTAATACATTCGAGGCCTCCAATCCCTTGTCACCAGCAGCTGTCACCGAGGCAAACCTAGAAAGAAGGTGGCGTGCGCCCTGCCAACTTTCTGGGAGTCTACAGATGGCCGCAGGAAGCCACTCTACTCCCACAGCATGCCCACTTCCCCTGCGAGGAGGTTTCTGCACTTCCTCTACTACTTCCCAAAAGTATTTAATAATCAAACAGATTTATTTCTTGACCAAGAAATAAGTGTATAGCATCGTTAGGGAGAAAGGTAACCCGAAGCTTTGAAGAACAGCTGCTTTCTAAGAACGGTTTAGGAGACCTAAGGAAATTCCAACAGTAATCAGATGAGATCAGAGAAAGAGCCTTGTAATAATGACAGAGACCAGCAGGGAGAACCACAGTCCCATGTTTCCTCAGAAATCAGGGCAGTCCCTGTGGGCTGAGGGCAGGGGTAATCCTTTTTGGGTTTCTGTTAATCCAATGATTCAAGCGAGTTCACCAGGAAAACCATCCCAAGGGAACAGGACATGCATTGGGCCAGAACCGACTCTGGAAGGACGGGAGAATGCACGGAGGGAGAACTGACACCCACACACACGTGTGGGGCGTTCCTGGCCCTGCCGGCCAGTAAGGAAGCCGGCAGGTGACCGTGCTCCCCCCGATGAGGTATGGAAGATCAGAGCCAGTAGTGTTTCCCACCTGAATCAAGGCAAGAACCTGAACCCCTGCTAAGTGACTGCAGGGCCAGATTTTTTCAGTGTTATCCTTTCAGGCCATTAGAGACCTCAGCTAAAATCCTCAGAAATCCTGTTCAAAGGCAGGCCACGCACCACGAGGCTCCAGCTCGTCTCTGGAGATCGAAGCTACACCCAACACACCACCTGCCAGGACAGAGCCGCCACAGGAGCCTGGGTGCTTCTCCGACTTCAGCTCCTTTCTCTCTCTCTCTCGAAGGTGCCATCAATACTCTGACCACAGCACAGCTTTGCTTCCTTTGTCCACACTGACGACATGGGAGCCAGAAGGGGACCATGCTACTGCATTGATGGACGAGCTTCAAAGGGAGAGGTCAAAACATCTGTGAGATCTTAGTGAGCTGAACGCCAGGCCCCCTTGCATTCCGGGAGAAAGGCTCTCTCCAACGCCTGGCTTACTCACCAGGACTGCTGCCACTCACAGGCAGGCCCTTGGCAATGAGCACAGAAACTCAAAGGAACCCCACACTGTACTGAAGGAAGCAGGTTAGAAACAAAAAGAACGAAAGGAATCCGGTGGAACCAAGTCTACCCTAAGGTGGTAGACTTCACCCTTTGACAAGAGCCTCGGGGGCCCGACTTGGGAGTGGATAATGGCCACTGCCCCTGGGAGCAAGGAGAGATGGTTCTGGAGGAAAGCCCTGTCTCCATTAAAACTAGCAGCTGAGCTTGGGTGGAGAGAACAAAGCTAAGAGAAACAAGAGCCAGGGGGAGTACTGAGAGTGAAAACCGGGGTTTACAGCCAGTCAATTTCCTGGGGAATGGGGCTCTGAAGGGAGAAGGAGAAGCAGAGAGGAGACGCTAGGTGATCTTCCTAAGCTTTCTCCAGCAGTCACTACTCGAAGGGCTCTAACTAGAGAGCCTGTCACATCCCTAAGCAAACACTGCTGCTTGCTGTACTGCATGAATGGCCCCAGGCTCCCCTCAGTGACCTCGCTCACAGCGCAGCCAGTGAGCCCACAACGCCCTCCCAGGGCTCAGTCCATGCCCAAAGGGGCAGGACCCCGGAGATGAGGTCACAGCACCTGCACAAAACCTGGGGGGCTACCAGGATTCCCCTTACCCGTGCTGCTTGGAAAGGACCTTCTCCACCTTCCCCGAGAG